CCAACTTATACATTGTTAATAACATAATTTTATATACGTGCCTATCTTGCCCCATTACTGTTGCCCCTATACCAGGGGCAACTTTAATAAAAATAATTAAAATAATTACAACTTTACAAAAAGAGAGAAGTTGCCGATCTTGCCCCTATACCCGGGGCAACTTCGTCAATTTCTCTCTTCTTGTAAAGTTGTAATTATTTTAATTATTTTTATTTCCAAACTGATTTTAACCAGTTCTATAGTAAGGTAACATTCCAATAGACAATATGCAAAGCTTTTTTTTCAGTTTACAGCAGTATTTATTACACAAAATTTAAGTAAAGCTTAACATGCCGATCTTGCCCCGATCTCCCCTAAGCTGCTAAAGAATTTCATGAAACTTGTACCATAATCAAAATCATTAAATGATAAAAATTTAATTATTTCATACTCTGCATGAATCGGATAATTAATTTTGTTAAATTTTTAAAATCAATTCTATGAAAATTTTAGAGTCAACTATATGTAATTTTTAGAAAACAATAAAAATTCAAATATTTTTTGCAAACTTTTGAATGGTTTAATTCTTGTCATCCCCTGAATAAAATATAATATAATGTAACCTCAGTAGAATAAATATGAGGTAATGCATAAGTAGATATATTTGTTATATATTTTGTTATATTTTTTACATTGTTGTTTAAACATCAAATTTATCAGTAAGAGTTCCATTATTTTAGTGGCACAAAATGATCCAGTGTCAAGTTCTGTGAGATATTTTATTGAAGCATAACCTTATTGATTTGGATAAAGGCTAATACAACAGCTTCCTTCAATTATTTGATTTTCTATCATTGTTGATGTATGACACACTCCTTAGTAGAAACACACTTTGTCTTGTCAAGAATGTCCTCAAATTGCCTTGTCACAATACAAGACAATTTGAGGACATTCTTGAGCCTAAACACTTGCAATGAGCCATTTTTTAAACTATAGGAGCTTGTGTCAACCATCTGAAATGAATGATAAAATATAAATTTGTAGCTTCAAATAAACTTATCAGGGTAATAAACTTTCAACCATCCTGATTATGTTAATAAAAAAATTATAAATTTCAAATTGTTTTTTATAGAAATTATTTAAATGGAAAATTTTGTTAAATTGAATTTTTTGAAGCATTATTACATACTTATAAGAAAGCAATGATTAATTTTTGAAATTTTACAGATATTTTGATTGGAGCATATGATACAGCTAATGCATTACTTTTAAGGTATGCATTTTCTTTTCATTGAAAACCACTTTCAAATTATTTCATTTTTAACTTAATGGATTTTATATACTTTAATTTTTATCTATTTAGATCTCATCCTGTTATATCTGTGTATGCAAGAATGGAATTTGACATCCAGCATATTTTAATAAATTCTACTGCAACTAAATGTAAAACTAATCAAAAAGAAGTATCTTGTTTTCAACTTAAATATNATAGAACAACTTTACAACTTTATTATCGATTCATTAGATATTCAAAATATAATTCAAGCAGATAAAGAAATAATCCAAATAGCAAAAATTATAAAATTGTTTCTGAAGCAATGAAAATAGAATTGGAAGTTGATAAATATAAAACCTATGTTCCAAGAGCCTATTTTATGGAAGACAAAAATGTTCAAAAAATAGAATCTGAGATAACACTTCTGGAAAATACAGAAAATTGCAAAATGCAAATGGTATATCTTATGGTAAGTAAAATGCTATCATCTTAATTGTTAGAATACAATGAAGTTGTTAGTGAATGTAATGTCTATGTGCAGGTCGTATTTTGTCCTGACAACTTTTCAACAAATTTTCTATTATGTAATAAAAGGTTGGTGGCACTTGTTACAACCCCTTAGTCATGGGGATCTTTTTATTCTCCCTTTTTTCTAGCACTGTCCTCCTATTAGACAAAGTTGTGTCTAATGTTTTGTGTAATCTTTGTTCTTTCCTCATGTAACCAGTTATATCACAATCTCCTATATGCTTAACAAGTTAACATTAATATCATATGTAAAGTTTTATTTTCTCTTGGTATAATTAAAAATCACTATATAATCCAGGATTTTTTGATTGTTTGGCCATAACTAGGAACAGGTGTATAAGGCACTAACCTGGACCACAGCAGATGTAAGAGTCACAATAAAGTTAATTTTAATAAAAATAAAAAAAAGCTGCAAATTTTTACTATATAAATATTACAGTGATAAATATCAGGATGATATAAAGTTTACTTGAAGCTGGGTGCAAGAAATCAGAGTTCCCTTACTCTACTATCTTTAAAAGGAGCTCTGGAAGAGCTTAGCACCTCAGGTTCAGAGTTGTCAACAGGGGGAGCTGAAAAGTTTTTCCTATGCCAGAAGAAAACTTAAGGGCCCATAATGGTTCTTTTCCCTATAAAATAACCACACATGGTAAACAGTGTTTTGCTAGAATTAAAAAATTGAAGAGATTTAAGAATTTGTCTTTTATTTGTTTATAAGGCTGGTGATCCTGTACCTTGGAAACCAAAGGTTCTCCTAATGGTAAAACTGTCCTTGCTTCTCTTCAGTGCTTAATGCCAGATTTCCAACAAGGCACAAGTCTAAGGGTCTTGAGTCTCAGACTCTCCAAAATTAGAGAAAAATTAAGCAATTTTACCAATACAATTTTATATCGTAATTTATAAATAATTATTTAGCTAAAGATAGACATAATTAGTTTATGACGATGTAAAATTACAATATTTAGACTGTTAAACTTCTGTGCCTATGAGCTCTTGAAATCTTAATCCACCTACTATTGCTACCCCTTATCAAGCATCTGTGGCACATGCCCTGCCTGCTTACTAGTTGCATCCATTTAGAAAGCCAAATGGTTTTCAAAACTTGTACAAAATTAATATTATAGTACAGAATAATATTTCTGAATAAAACTGAAGACAGCAAAAACTATAAATGTAAAGAGTGTTTCATATTTATCAAATACAATTTATTCATCTAAAAATAATCTATATAATTTGTTATATATAAGTTTGTTTATTTGTTAAATTATGGTAATGCAACACTTGGGCGATCTGCCTAGGGGATGCCTTCCGGGGGGGTCTTTTTAAGGGTAACTGGTCCCTATTCAGGCATTACAGAAAATCTAGTAAACTCCACATGGCTCGTCCTGGTGAGGCGCGAACCCACAACTGAACTCCCAGTGTTCAGGGAATGGAACTGCTTGGCCACTGATGGGCTGTTATATATAAGAATATATTATTGGTGATAGGTTTAATGATTAAAAAAATAAATATAATTTTATTATTTACTGTTTTTTAGTTTAATGTTTTATTTAAATTTTAAAATAAATTTTTATTTGATAGGATGATATTCAAGATTTAATTACTCCAATAAAATTTCAACTGACATATAATTTAAAGGAACCAGAGGTTCCACAGTTTTGCAAAAGCTGTCCCGTCATTGATGCAACTGCAACTAATACTATTACTAAAGAGGTAGATTTTCAATTCTATAGGAAAATTTTATATATTAAATGTAATAAATAAATACACTATCAAAAACTAAATATATATCTTGTCCTGTATTTTTTTAATATTTTACTTTATAAAAACTAAAATATTATTATTATTTATTTAATAGGTTATGTTCTGGAATGGTTGTGGGGATGATAATGAATGTTTGAGTGATTTAAAGCTTTCTGTAAAATATTTGAGGTTTGTATAAAGTCGATATAATATGCAGGTTGATTCGCTCAGGACTGAACACTTATTATGTGAAATATCTCTATATAAAATGAATAGATGACAATGAAACACAGAATGGGTTTTTTATTTCATTACAAAGAAGTCAACCAAGATAAACTTTATATTACATGTTATTCAAATGTGGTTATGCAATCATGAGATATTGAACAAAATGTTCAGTCCCAATTGAATCACACTGTATTATTTGTATTATATTCAAAATAAATTTTTTAAATTTACTTTTTAGTAAAGTTGAACGATTTGTAATTGGAGAAAATAATATTTTGGAGATGGAAGTAAAGGCAGAAAACTTGGGTGAACCAGCATATAATTCTACGATATTTATAAAATTACCTGAAGATGTTATGATGATCAATCAAGCAGAATGTACAAGTACTTCAGAAGATCAGAATGCAGAAAATTATACTTTATTATGCAATGTTGGGAATCCTCTCACTTCTGATAGTCCAGTATTTATTCTTTATCAATAAATTTATATAATATTTTTATATATAAAAGAATAAAATATTTATTATCTTTATTTTTTAATTAGAATATCTTTCAATTGAAAATGGATACTTCTAGACTTTCAAAACCAGTTGATAAATTGGTTTTTGAATTTTGGATAGAAACTGCAAGTAAAGAAATTAATCCTTCTGATAACTTCTATACTGTTACAATACCAGTGATATTTGCAGCTGATATTCAAATTAGAGGGTAAGATTTTATTTCCTAAGAATTGAACTCAATTAAAATTATTTGCAGTACAACCTCTATATAACATTTTCTCAGAGACCAGTAGATTTCAGTTTAAAATAGAAACAAACTTAAAATAGATATTTTGGGAAAAGCATGATTAAAAAACTCAATTGTGATGAATGAAATTAATATTTACACCAGAATTTGCCACCTTTCCAAAATTGCTGAATCGGACATTTTAAAATTAGGATGTTATACTTAGAAATGAAAAAAATTAGGTTTTTTTATTATGAGTAAAAAATAAATATTTTTTTTTTATTAGAAGATAAATGTGTACATAATATATTATTAAAGCAGTGGTTCTTAACCAGTGTTCCACAAACCTACCTCGATGTTCCATAAAAGAAAAGATTTTAAAGTTTTTATTCAAATTTATTCCCATTACTATATTCGTAGATAATTCCATGTTTCTATTTTATTCAATATATTAAAGTTTATTAGTTTATTGCTTCGTTGTTTCCTGAGAATAGTAAACAACAAATTGCTTATCAATTTTTGAATGTATTGATGCTAATGCTCCTTGTAATAAAAAGTATATGAATGGTGTTCCATGGCATCAGAAAGGTTGAGAACCACTATATTAAAGTAATACAATAATCATATGTGGCGTATCCAAAAATAATTAATAACAGTCCAATGTTGATATTAATTGCAAAATAAAAATAAGAATAATAAATAATAACACATACGAACATTAATAATATTAAGTTACAAAAGATAATTGTATCTAATACAATATATAATATAAATACGAGACATGCACAATGTCATTTTACAGCCAAGAACTGAACAATGGGCATGCCAGTTTTAAACCAGTTAGGGACTTGTGTTGGAACAAACCTAATATTTGCAATTTAGAATTTTAAAAATACATGTTCTGTCACTCTTAGCCTAGGGATAAGTTTGGGCAGAGGTGTGAAGTTAGTCTTTAACTGTTAAAATAAAATATTCTCAAATATTTTTATAAATTTATTTGTTTCATCATAGTTTCACAATTTCTACGAAAACTGGTCAAATTGATAATTAATCTGGACCATGAATTTAAAAACCAGCCTGGTGGAAACACTAATTTACACATAGTAATTTCTTCTATTACATTTCTAAAATAAAAATTTATTTGTAACATTTTTAAATTCATATTATACTAGGTGATGGAAATGAATGGAATAATAACAACAATAATGTTAATCACAATCAAAATGCAATAGTCAAAGTCATATATGCAGTGTGTATATATATAATCCATATATATGAAAACAATATAAATAAATATATAAATGAAAACATATATATATATGTTTTCATTTTCATCACATAAACTTAGATAACTGTTACATTTTTTATACTTGGACTGTAGATAATGGGTCTAGTGCTGGCTAGAAAAGAAAAAAATACCACTGGCAATTTTATTCAGCTTGCCCCTCTAGTTCATTAATGATTTATTCCTGTCTGGCAATAAGTTTTTATTACACATTTTATTACATTTTGAGTAAATATATACACATTAATTAATATATAACAATGTTATATTATCAATTATTGATATTCATTGTACAGTATTTCAGAATGCTAATGTATAATGTAAATTAGTCTTTAATCCAGATCCTTTTTAGCTTGTGTGAGAATGCAGCAAGCAAAAAAAATCAGGGCACAAAAATTACTCAATACACTTTTTTCCTGTGAATGTTAAATTGAAATCACATTTGGGTTGTGTGATTAAAAAAAGAGCTTCCTTAAAATCAAGTTCAACATAAAATTGAAAAATGCTAAATTTAAGTCTAAATTCTATAGTTTTTATGGAGCAATAGAAGTTGGAACAATTAAAAATGAACATAAAATTAGGGTAAGGATTAAATTGAGAAATGTTAAAATGGGAGTCTAATGTATTTGTTTTAATTAATTAATTCTTATTTAAAATCAAAAGCAACTTAACATTTACTTTTAAAATGTTGGTCTAATTGGTAATCTAGTTTATAATGATAAATATTTTTATATAAATTATTTATTGAGATTTTTACTATAGAGTAGATGCTGCTTATTGTAATCATTGGTAATATTATCAGTCTGGCTAATATTATCAAAGTTTACCTCCAAACACAAGGTATACAGAATACTCTGAACACAATGAGATATAATAGGGATGTTAGGTAATCTTGTAACATTATCTGGCATGTAATTCAAAACAATATTATAAACTTTGAAAGAGTTTAACTAAGAATAATCAACTTATATACCCAATAAATAATAATCCAACAAAATTCTATTTAATAAATAAACAAATATTTTTAATCATCTTTAGTGATCATCATCAGGCAGTGTCAGAACTAACCTTTTGTCTACCCTGTGCAATATTTTATTTTTGGGTCTCTTAATTTTTTGGGGACAGAAAAATAATAATAAACCAACATCTTCAAACCTGATGTATTGTACATACACAATATACCAATTACTAGATTATATTGGGCTATTATATCGCATTTGTCAGTTCCATTTTGAGATTCCCTTCATTTCCGACCTTGTGCCTTTACACCTGTTGCACCTACCTAGTTATGACACTGTTATCAGGTTAGAAACTCTTCAATCAATTTTTTATTATTAAGTAATAATATTGGCTATAGAATCTGTAGCTAGATAAATGGTAATGAACTGATCCTTAGAGGAATGTTAAATATGTTACATACTATAAAGTTATTTTCATCTTATAGAAATGAATAATGAAGATACAATTTATTTTGTAATACATGCTAAATATTTGGTATACTTTTGGTTCAACAAGTTAATTTTAATTGGATTTTGAAAAAAATATAGAAACTTCAACAGAATATTCAAAGAAAACAATTATTCTTAGGATTATTGATATACAGTATTTATCTGCATTAAACACAAATATTATAGATATCTTAGATAGATTATTTCAAAGAAAATTCACATAACTAAATAATTAATTACAGATATGAACAATATATAATTTATTTTAAACTGTTGGATATTATATATATTGAATTAAAACTTGGGCTTTGAGATGTGTATTGTATATATTAATAACATTGATTAAACTAATAATGTACTATATTTTTGGGAAATGAAAATCCCCAATTATATTTTAATTTTTATTTCTAAACTATTGTTATAATTTCAGATTTGCTGAAAATGAACTCATATTTTTACAGGAAGATAATAAGGAAGTAATTCCTATTAGTCACACATATTTTGTAAGTTTCTTTCAACTATTAGTTTATAAATAAAAGTTAAACATTATCAGAAAAATAAACTGTTTTCATCATTACACCAAAACTGACTCAAAAAGTATTGAGCTTTTATTTAGTCGTTATTATTTTTATTATTGTTGTTTTCATGCATTTTGTTGGAGTTTGTTTATTTACATATTTATTTTTTGTTTTAATTTTAACATTAATCTCCTATGTAAAAATTGAGTCTACTACTTTTAGATCTGAATTGTTACATCATTTCTGTTCCCTTTGTGTGTTGATGATACGAGGGCTGTTCAAAAAGTATCGGACCTTTGGTCGGCAAAAATACATTTATTGATTTTGAGGTACAAAACCCTAATCTCCTTCAAAGTAGTCTCCTTGGTAGTGTATACACTTCTCCCAGCGTTCCTGCCATTGCTGGAAACACTGCTGGAACACATCTTTCGGAATGCCCATCAGCCGGTCCGTCGCATTCCGCACGATGTCTTCTCTCGACTAAAATCGGGTTCCTTTTAGCGGCATTTTCAGCTTGGGAAATAGCCAAAAGTCACACGGAGCCATGTGGGGAGAGTACGGAGCGTGACGAACCACAGGAGTGTTGTGTTTGGCGACGAAAGCCCGAATCAGATGCGCAGAATGGGCGGATGCGTTATCACGATGGAGCTGCAAAGTTTTGATCGACCACAGATCTGGTCGTTTGCATCGCACAGCATTGGAAAGACGATGAAGGACCTCCTGGTTTTACTCCTTTGCGATGGTTTGGCCTTGTGGTGCGTACTCACGATACACCACAGGAGTAAAAAAAAAACTGTCAACATGACCTTGAAATTGCTGCAGACCTGCCACGCTTTTTTTGGCCTTGAGGATCGTCCCCGAAAGTTTGCTGAATCTTGCATATGGTTTCCACTTGGGTACCGCCAAGCTTTTGGCAAAATTTGATGCAATATCACAGCTCAATTGTTCAGTCATTTTCCAACTTAGTGGAATCTGACAAGCGCTCACTATATGTCCTCACTCATAAACCGACTGCCAGCGACTGACGCTTCCTGTAGGAGGGAAAAAATTCAGGACTGTGCATGAATGGCCCCTCCACAACTCCACTGAAAAAGACCTCCCATGCATCATTGGTTTACACGGGAAAAATAAAGATCCGATACTTTTTGAACACCCCTTGTATTTTTGGGGCTGGTAAAAAGTATCAAATTACAAAATAATATGCAGGATCTTTTTTAAAATATTTTAATTATTTATTTATATGTTAAATGAATCTGAATGTTCAATAAAATGGTTCTCTAAACAGTAATAATTTTTGTTAAAAAGAAGATAAAATAGATTGAAATTATATGTCAATATTGTGTTATTTGTGATACTTTTGTTTTTGTGTATCTGTTGTAATAATCTTTTTCTTCCCATTTATTTAACATTGTATGAGATCTAAATGTATTACATTGATCTCATATATTATTCCTCCTCTCAATTTTTTTAAAGTAAATTTTTATCTTTTTATTCTAAGTTCATTATTATATACCATATATTTTGGCTGATAATGAAAACCTAAATAAGACAAGACAACAAAACCAAATTTCATCCTAAATTGGATACTTTTAGCTCATGTCTGTTGTATAAGATCAGCAGATAGTTTAACATCTTGTTAAACATCTGTGCTGATCTGTGTTTAAGATCTGTTAACTATCCTAATGTATTATTCATTTGGTATATATCACCATATTGATGATTGCTACCCAATCATCAATATGGTGATATATACCAAATGAATAATACATTAGGATGCAGAATGCACAGATGCAAGTATGCAATGTTTAGAAAAATAGTTTCTGTAAAACATTGTAGTCTGCACATGATCAGATTGCATATAAACATTGAGGAGACAGCATATTTCTTTTATCTGTGTTTATTGATAGTGCAGTTGTAAGGTGGGTCATGAAAACTACATGGTTGTTTTGTGTGAAATTTTAAAGTAACTAATTTTGTATCTGGCCTATAACATGCCCTCAGGTTTTGTGATACACTTTTGATGATTCAAGTGATGTCTTATCTGCCAAAATATACAGTATAAACAGCATTATTATTATAAAAATATTTTATTCTGGATTAATACTTACTTTGCTTTTAATGTCAATAATCGTGTAAAAGTTTCTAAACTATAATAACCTCTATCTACAAAGTCACCCTTTAAAAAATTAGAAGGTAATTAGTAAGACAATATAAATAATTTAAACTCTAACAAATAAAAAAATTTATTTTATTTTTATTGTTAACTAACATTTTTTAAATAAAATTTTAATGCCATAAACAATAAATTTATAGGAAATATGCTAAAAAAACACTTACAAGAAATATATAATTTGTATCTGGAACTCTTCCACCTGTTCTAAATAATTCTTCTAAATCATAAAACTGAAAAATTGTTTTTTTTTTACTTTTATATATATATAAACAAATATCAAATTATCTTTTATATATAATTTAAATTATAATATAAGACCAAATCAATTTCATTTTACAGAAAAATAAAAAAATTAATAATTGCTTAATCATGTTACATAATTAGTAAATTCAATTTTGTATATTAAAGTTAAGGCTATTTATAATATACAAAAAAAACTTTTTTTTGGAGTTGAATTTGTATTTATTAAATCGTCATTTTACAATCCATCAAAATAAATATTTTCAAACGATATACTCTTGTTAATTTTGGCATTGATATTAAACATATATTCATCATGGCATTATGCATCTCAACTGAAAATGGAACAAAAATTCAATTCTGTTAATTAGCTAATTTAGTATGAATTTAAAAAAGAAATTAAGAATTACCTTTAAAATAATTTGAAGTCTAAATGTATCTACTTATTACTTCAAACAACCTTCATAATTTCTTGATACACTTCTATTTACAGATCTAAAGCACTTATTTAAAGCTACAGATTCCAACTGGATTTCATTAAACTAACACTTCACACCTTTCTCCAGCAAATTTATTGTTTCCTCACTAATGTTTTTGGATGTCTAACACCCATCATCAGGGAACCTTATAAAAAAATAACAATTCTATGATTGCCTGATAATGGGCATTAAAGAAAACAATAAATTTGCTGGAAAAAGAAGGTATTAAATGTTTTACTTATTTATTTTTCTAAATAATTTCAAATGAAAAGCATTTTAATTTCTCCTGTAATTTTAAAAAATAAAGAGAATTTACAGAAACTCTTCAGTTATGTGTGTAATGATAAATATACCATTAAATTAGGTCAAATTCTTTGGGATAAACTAGTGTATATTCTAGAATCATACAATTATTTACATGTTAGATTTCTAAATAAATATTTACACATGTACATTTTAACAAATATTTTGTATATTACTAATCAGCATGATGCTTACAACATGCATCATGCTTGAGCTTGACTCANTGAAATAATACGATAGTTTTTCAAAAAATAAATTAAATTATTTTGATTTTGTTTGACCTGTGTTTGACAAATAACATAAGCTAAAATAGCAAATTTCAATACGAATTAGTTAATACACTGTTATTTTAAAAATTAGAATTTCATTATAAAATTTTAATAGCTTCTAATGGGATTGTGACATTTTCTACAATAATTTTATTTTCTGTTTATTCATCATTAATGTACAGTACGAACTTCCACATGCAATGTTCATTTAACAGATAATTTAATAATTATTTATAAAAATGAACTATCTAGAAGAGAAGAGAAAATTATAAAACTAAAATTGCGAAAGTAAATTCTTAATGCTTCTTATGATATTTGAAATATTATTAAAGCAAAAAGAAACAATTAAACAATGCACAGAGAAATATAGTATATGTTTCATATTCTAACATCAATTATTTAACAGGTGTCGAAACAATTAAGAAATCCAATTCCTGTTGTGGATGTGACCTTAAAAATTCCGATCAAGTTAACTGTCGACGGGCCAGACTTTCTCGAATTAACATCTTTACAGGTAAAATATTTTAAAGACACAAATATTATTTCTAGTGTAACTATAATATAATTATTGCATCTTATATTTCAGATTGGTAATGATACGGCAAATAATGTTCCATCAACTTGTGATGTAGTGACTGAGAAACTGGTAAAACCTGAAATAATATTGTCACGTTTACATAGAGACGTATCTTCAAAACGGTACACGCATCAAGAACATGCGGACCATTCTAATTTTGATACTATTAATTTGGTAAGAATTTTTGTACAATATTTATAAGAAGAGTTAAGTAACATCAGGGGTGTTCCAAAATGAATTTTGCCATTTTAAATTACTATAATTATGTTAATTATTAACTTATCTGAGAAGTATGTGATGTACACCAATGAATAGAACAACTGTCGAGTTATCTCCCATCTGTATTCAAACGTCTCGTCTATATCTTACCTCTGGGAAGCACCATAAACTAAAATGGTGACTCCGTAACAGAGAAGGTGTTTTCTGTTCTGCATAAAGTCTGAATCACTCGTCATGTGTATCACAAGTTGCTGAAGAAATTGTTGCTGCAGAAGCTGAAGAATTGTTGCTGCTATGGAAGAAGTGACATGCTATATGCTATAGTAAGCTTAGGGAGAATTTGAGTACAGTAATACCTCGACTTACGCGAACCCGGAGTTACGCGATTTTCAAATCTCGTCGATTCGTCTTTTGTTTGAGCGCCAAGCAACTCTCGATTACTCAATCCCCCCACACTATTGTTCGGCTTACATGCTCAGACGTGTCGCGCGGAATCGACACATAGCCACAATTTATTTTGTGTTATTTATTTCTGTGTTTGTTATATCTACGGAGACTTGAGAGACTCTATGTGGTGATTTCTTCTAACCGTGAACGAATCAAAAGACGAGATAAGATTAACGAGAACATTTATATTTCCGTTATTACATACATCCGACTTGGGTTTTATACAAATTGCGAAATTATACCCCGACTTACGCGGTTATCGCTTGGTCCCACCTATCGCGTAAGTTCGGGGTATCACTGTATTGGTTGGGAGTGTGCCATGTGACACGAGGTGTATATATTGAGAAATTGTAACGAACAAATGTAAAATTTGGGCGAATTCTAATGTTTTAATGTACATTACAGTGTTCTTGTATAATAATTAACATAATTATAATAATTTAAAATGGCGGAATTCTTTTTGGAAGACACTGTATTTGATACTTAACTCTTCTTGAATGTATCATTAATTATTTTATCGAAATTACAACTATACTAATCTTTTCAATCCGTCTATCTAAATATATAAAATTGCTTGTCCTGACTGATTCACTCATTCACTCACTGATTCATCATCGCCCAGAGCAAGCCGCTTAACCTAAAGAGGTGAAATTTGGTAGACAGTTAGGGTACGTTATGGAAACGCACACTAAGAAGGGATTTTTCGAAATTCCTCCGCGGGGGGAGAGAGAGAGGATTAAGGCTTAACTGGAAAAATGGCTTCTACTGTACTAGTTTAGATGCAATTTTTTGTTTTAAAATTAATCTGCGTTTTTGTAGGGTATGCCATGGGAATTCACACTAAGAAGGGATTTCTCGAAATTCCCCCGTGGGTGGGAGAGGATTTAGTCTTCATCGAGTACTTAGGTGTATTAAATTAATAACATTTCAGACATTGTTATAAATATTTTTATCTATTCGATTTTAAAAATGTTCGGACCGTTTTAAATTCGAATTTGTTATTGCATATTGGTTCGATTATAGAATGATTGTAAACGTTCTAGAAAATTGACCAAATTGAAAATAGTTCGTTTGATTCTCGGCAATTCTCATCATTCTCAGCGGTAGGTGTTATATAACAATTACTATGGTTGTTGAAATATTGAATATAAATGGGGCTTGCTTGCAAAATTTGCGCGGGCAAAGCCGCTGGTAACAGCTAGTATCTTATATTCCAGTCATCTAAAGTAGATTTACCTGAATAAATTGGCGATATTATGAGCTATTTGTGAAAAAATGAATTTGTTTTACTAGAATTAATATCAGTAATTTCATGTTTGTGATTGTGCAGAGTGATCAAATGAAAGTAGAACTTGTGAGAAGTTAGCGATAACATGAGCTGGTCATGCTTACTGCACCATTTCTCGAAATTGCGGAACTCCTGGTGCTGCTACTCACAAGTTATACTTTCATTTTATCATCCAACACAATTAATTTATTAACTGAAATATTACATTATTTTCTAATATTTATTTAGGATTGTACTACGGCAGTTTGTATATCTATATCGTGCCGTGCGGGACCTTTTGTGGATACCAAAAAAATCGCAAAGTTTCAGATTAGTGGCTATATTAATTTAACCAATTTACAAAGCAGTATTGTAAGTATTTGGAATTTTTTATTTCAGGAATTATGTAATGAAATAAAATAATTTCTAAATTATTAGGGAGAGAAAGATGTAACTGTACTTATATCAGAAGGCAAAGTAACAATTAAAGATGCAAATTATGGAAAGTTTGTAAGAGAAGATCGAGCAACTGTAAGTTGTAAAGATTTATACTCTAAAATTCACTTAAGTCTTTAAATTAAACTACATTCAATTGAAAACATTTTTCTGAGAATTTTTTCTTTTACATTCAGCTGAACCTCCAGTAACCACTGTTTAGAGGTGGCCTACTGGAAGTTCGACTGTGTCTAACACTTCTGAATAGTGGTCGTTTTTACAGGAATGTCAAACGAAAATTCACACAAAATAATCTCTAAACAATGGCCACTCTCAGCAACGGTCATTACCCTATTTAAATATCTCATTATAATGCATTTAACTTTTTTAATCAGTTCATTCTAAAAATCTATTAATTTATTTACTTAGATACTTCTTAAACAATATTTTCAGGCTTTTTCCTAAATGTAATTGTACTTTTGAGACTATTAACTATATTCTAAACAATTCTAATTTAATAAAATATATAAAGTTAAAATTGTAAAATTGTTACAACAGGTTGCAACGTCACTAGAGAAATATGGCCTTCATCAACAAAAAATCCCTATTTGGATTATTATTGTGAGCGTAGTGGTTGGACTACTACTATTAATTGTTCTTCTTTCATTATTATACAAGGTATGATAAACTAAATATTGGTTTTATTTAATTGAGCTGCTCGAGGGAATACAATAGTAAATGCCAAAATTAAAATTTTAGAATACAGCAAAAATAAAATTTTGATTGAATAAATTTATTCTAAAATCAACTTTTTACTGAAAGTGTTTTGTAATCGATCTAGTTTTATAATGACATAATTAAAAATGTACCAAAAGATCACACCAGGATGATGGCAATAGCAATTGATGGCAATGGCGCTTACCATTGTGTTCTCCCGTGCAGCTCGATTAATTAGTAATAACTTAATTACTATAAATAACATATTTATTCTGTTATTCAGTCTGGCTTCTTCAGGCGGAAAGAACAAGAAGAGATGGAAAAACTGAAAAATGAGGAAGAAAATGAGGAAACGTTAGCTTTAAATGGCAATTCCACATAAAACATAATTGTAATAACATGTTCTTGCATGTTGTTATTTTGTAATATATTGTAAATTTGTAATTCAAATGTTTTTATACAATGTATATGTTAAATTAACATTTGTGTATTGTGAGCAAACATTTTTCAGAATTTTTTTACTGATCATCGTTAATGGAATGATGAGAGTTTGAATCGAAGTGTTTGCTTTTAATAAGAAGGTAGCTTAGATTGTTTTCATCTGTATTTATATGCCTTCTAGTCATTTTCTAATATAATTTATTAAACTTCACTTTGTCTCTTTTATTTCTGAATAAATTAATTAGTTTAATACATTTCTTGAAATTGTCTTAGCCTATAACTACGAGGTGTGTTCAAAAAGTATCGGACCTTTGGTCGGCAAAAATAAATTTATTGACTTTGAGGTACAAAACCCTAATCCCCTTCAAAGTAGTCTCCTTGGTAATGTATACACTTCTCCCAGCGTTCCTGCCATTGCTGGAAACACTGCTGGAACGCATCTTTTGGAATGGCCATCAGCCGGTCCGTCGCATTCCGCACGATGTCTTCTCTCGACTAAATTCGGGTTCCTTTTAGCGGCATTTTCAGCTTGGGAAATAGCCAAAGGTCACACGGAGCCATGTGGGGAGAGTACGGAGCGTGACGAACCACAGGAGTATTGTGTTTGGCGACGAAAGCCCGAATCAGATGCGCAGAATGGGCGGATGCGTTATCACGATGGAGCTGCCAAGTTTTGATCGACCACAGATCCGGTCGTTTTTGTCGCACTGTATCGGAAAGACGACGAAGGACCTCCTAGTAGTACTCCTTTGCGATGGTTTGGACACACCACTCCACGAGAGTCGAAAAAACTGTCAACATGTCCTTTGATATTGCTGCGGACCTGCCGCGCTTTTTTTGGCCTCGAGGATCGTCCCCGAAAGCCTGCTGAATCTTTCGAATGGTTTACGCTTGGGTATCGCCAAGGTTTTTGGCAAAATTTGATGTAATATCGCTGCTCACATTGTTCAGTAATTTTCCAGCTTAGTGGAATCCGACGAGAGCGCACTACATGACCTCACTCATACGCCGATTACCAACAACTGACACTTCCTGCAGGCGGGAAAAAATTCAGGGCTGTGCATGACTGTCCCCTCCACAACTTCACCGAAGGAGGCCTCTCGTGCATCATTGGTTTACGCGGAAAAAAAAGGTCCGATACTTTTTGAACAGACCTTGTAAATTACTGTAAAGTAGACAAATTCAAAACATTTTATTGTGTTTAATGTTTTATTGATAAATTACGTTTAATTATCAATAAAGCATCGGGCTTGCTTAAAATCAGTGGCGTGCCGTCATTGGAAGCGGTGGATGCGCCGCTTCCCTTGTATTTTCTAAAAAATAAATAAATATTAATTTTAATTATATGAAAATAATCGCACAATATTTTATTATAGCCGCATTATGTATAGCACGTGAAAAAAAGATAAGATTGCTATTGTATATTCGAATATTAGTGTCGGATTGGAAGCGCTGTATCGTCAGCATCCAAAAAGCCAGATTCGCGCACGCGCTTTACAGAGCACCAACCTCACCCGGTTTAGCCGGTGGAAGCCTAGGATCTCGAGTGGATGCTACACGTATACCGCATCAAATTCTATCCAGGACCGGTTCTGGGCTGTTAGCCGCCAGCCCCTAGATATTTGGCCACCCTCGCCCGATTACGTGAATCACGAGTAGATTAAACCGATAAGAACGAGTAGATCCAACCGATAAGAATTTACTGGTATGTTTTTATGATAGTTCTGTATAGTTGACAGGAGTTTTAAAAAATCCATTAAAATATTTGATATTTTTATTCCGCTCTCCGATTTTATATTACTCACGGATTTCAATCTTAAACCGGTGATATTACGATTTCGTATGTCCCATCCCTAAGGGGATATAGAAAAAAACGTGTACAATTCTTGTATAATGTTAAAAAATTAACTGTTACTTTGACAGCGTCATTTACAAGTAAATTTAATGAATGAGAGAGATGCACCAGGTACAGAAAAAGCTCTAGAATTTATTTTCCTTACATTTACGATTTATGTATCCGTTTGTCATAAAAAGTGTCTTTCCACTTTTTTCCCGAGACTACAAATATTCGAGTACAATGTAACCGGTTCGACTTATTTCTATTTAAGAAGTAGTTAAATAATTAACCGATTAGGGAATTGGGGATATAAATAAAACCCCGATGAAAGAGCCGGAATTTTACTTAAAAGCTTAACCGAACCATCTCTAGCCGAGTGCAGTGGCGACTGATTTTTTGGTATTATTAATGTAATAAAGACAGAAATTTTTCCAGTTCGACGAGAGTGACCGAAAAGTTGTAAATTTTGGAAATATCTGAGGACACTTGGTCCTAAAACGAATTAGTTAGAAAACAAATGACTATTAAGTTTAACATATTTAGATTTTTACAACTATTGTTTAGATATTTACGTTATGTTATTTGGATATTTACAACTATACGCCACTGCTTAAAATAGAATTAAGTTAACCCCATTTAATAGGACATTCTGCACAATGCAAGGTCCAAAATGCTTCGGTGCAAAAACCCTTGCACCAGAAAGATTGTTTAACATTTTGAAGCTTGTAACAATAGAGCATTCTGCACAATATACCAAATAACAATTTCATAAAATCTATGATCGTTATCAACATACACTTTCAACTATACGAACATTGTTTTGGAAAGGATTTAGAGTGCAAAATAAACTACAATTTGTTTTTATTTTTCAAATTTTAACTGTAGAAAATAAACGTTAGGTATTTTAATAAAGGCGTTTTATTAAGAGAACGGAATGGAAGACGGATGCAAGCACGTGATAAACGCAGGATGTGATTACGTAAACATTGAGGTGAGACCGGAATTTAAATGCAATGTTTCCTTTTGATACTTAGCATTTGTTTATTATAAATTAAAAATCTTTAAGACTAGTCAATATTATGTATTAATGGCATAGAACATGAATCTTTCAACAATGGTCCAGATATATTTAACTTGGATATTTGGATTCGTTGCCGAAATCTCTTCGTGTTACAACATAGATACAAACTTTCCTATTGTTTTTAAAAATAACAAACAAGGCAGCTATTTCGGATCGTCTGTTGAGTTTTATAGCAACAAAAATGAACAATGGTATGTTTTATTTTATACTAATAATGCGTAAAGTCGATTCACGATTTATATAAAGTTCGGTTTGTACGAGATTTTTTATTTTACAGCAGGGATGTCCAGAGGGGGGTAAAAGGAACAAATTTCTCTGCGCTCCGAGGAAGTAAGGGCCTCTATACACGGTTCTTTTTCCGTTTATTTTCTTTAATAATTTAATTTACTGTAGGTTCCCTGTACTTCGTCGGAGGTTCCCGTTACACTCTGGGCGGCCCTGTTATAGATAGTGCTTCAAAAAATGTTAACACTAATGTGGAAATAACTTGTTATGCCAGATTTCTAATGGCAGGTTGTCCTTTGCGTAGTTCTCCATCAATGTGCAACCTATTTTTTTAAGCACCCGCTTCAAACGTCATTTGACAAATTCGGAAATTTTAATCGATTAATTAATATATTATACTTGAGATCTCAACATTTAACAGTAAATAATATATTGTAAAAATAATATTTTAGGGTATTAATCGGTGCACCCAAAGCAAATTCCTCTGGTATATATCGTGTAGGTGTTTTATATCAATGTTCCATTTCGAAAAACTGTCAAGAAATTTCGTTAAAAAGTTCACGTGAGTTGTTTTTTTTATTAATTAATGTTATTTAAAACATTAAAATTTTATATTAAAATTGCTTTAAAAGCTAAAGTAAAGGGTAAAAACGATAGCATGATGTTGGGTATTAGTTTGGCTGTTCATCCCTCAAATCGTGGATTTGTGGTAGGTATAAATTTGGCATTCGATAATTATTATATAATTAATTTTAATTATAATAAATAAAAATAAGTATGCATTTATTTTTTAAACACATTAATACATATTTTTTCTAAGAGTTGTGGCCATTTGTGGAAGAAACACATTCGAAAAATAGGTTATTTTCCAAACGGTCTTTGTTATTTTATCGATTACAACAAAAAGACATATCAAAAAAGCGAAATTCTTCTCCGTGAAGAAGGAAATAATGGTATTAGTAAAAATTTTAATTTTATTTTATTAACTTAGTGGTTCAGTAGCAAGCGTGCCGAATGGAATTTTAAAAACATCAATAATATCCCACCAAATTAAAATTTGAGCTAATGATACTTGGTGATTACATGTTTTAAAATAAACTAAAAATCTATAATGCACTATTCTTATATTATAGATCCACAATATGGTTTGTATATAACAGATTTTACTCCTGGTGATTGACTTAATTCATTTATTTGATTCTATTAATTTGCTGGGAGAGTTTTAGAATGTTCTCTGTATCGCAGATGAGGCTAAATTCTAAAATATAAAAAATAGCTTTGTTCTAAATCCTGAAATATCTCCAGAAACAAATTCTGGAGGAATAACTTTATTTCTAAACCCTGCAGTTGTAACTAACTCCCTCTCAGGGTTTTCCCAATAAAGCAGGATGCTTCAGGTAGTAAAAAATTTTGTAAGGCATATTGTTTTCTTTCTGTACCTCCATCTAAAGATTTATCAAGGTTATCTCAGAGAGAGTTTTCCCGTCTGAAGGTTAGAAATTCCCCTAAAGCAGTTTAATTAAGCAAACACTTATAAAATTAGATGAAGTTGTGTTTACAAGTACTGAAGGACCAGCTGAGTGGTGTCGAGGCATCAGTAATTGTTTACATATGGTACAACATGCGTCCAAGGAATATTCAATTGCCACTACAAACATAATCCGAAGCATCGCTGCCAGGTTTTTACATAGCTTTTTATTTGTCTTAGTATATAAACGTTACAGTTTCTGACTTCAATGTGTGCTCTACATCAGTGTTTTTCAACCTGTGGGTCACGACCCTCAGGGGGACGCAAAGCCATACATGGGGGTCGCGGGTAAAAGAAAAAGATAAGCGTTTGTAGGTCCTACACTACAATAAAAAAAACTTACAATTTCAGTGAGAAGGCTGTGCCTGTTTATTTTACAGTACAATTGGTTTATTGGCGGCCGGATGGCCGAGCGGTCAAGGTGGCAGCCTACCGCTTCGACTGAAATAATTAAATCCTAAATATGCGGCCGGATGGCCGAGCGGTCAAGGTGGCAGCCTACCGCTCTGGGGGACCCGGGCTCAAATCCGAACGGGTCGAAAAATCCCCAGGAATTTTCGGGGGGTGGTCCTTTCGGATATGTCGGGCCTCGTCCCTCATCACCCGGCAGCCCATTGTGGGCCTGGCCGAACCCATAATGGGCTTGCAAAAATGGCCCGCAAAAAAATGGATTACACAGCATGTGAAAACCGCTATTTATCAGAAAAACCTGAAAAAAATGTACAGGTACAACAAGTATTCTACAGACTATTTTAGATTCAACAGCTGCTGGTTCAAGCACTTAAAATGAACAAGAATTCTTCCACGATTTATGCAACGCAATAGCTTCCTCAAATTATACCATTAACGAAACTTAATTAATAGTAGCATTTTTAGGACTATTTTTGCAAAAGTACTACGATACCTGTAAAATCAATGATACAAAAAATGCTATGTTCACCAAGTGTATTGAAACTACATTAAATAAACGAAATAAAGTTGTTACACTGACTGCATCCCCTTATAGGAAGGCCGTTTAGCAATATCGTCATAAAGATCACATGGGACGATAGCATTCGAACTATGGCGGTCGGCAAGCTAAAAAGCTTTATTTGTACACTAATACGCTAACGTATTTCATCTGTACGCAGGCCCGCCGTAAGCGGGCGTGCAAGGCGTGCACCGCACTCGGGCGGCACGTCCAGGGGGCGGCAAATCGAGCGATCGGTCACGAATTATTCAAAGTCATTGTCATAATACCCACCCTACTTATAGCATAAGAAATGTCTTCGCATGGATAAAATTAAGATGCAATGCGAAACGTTTGTCGGCAGGTTGAACCATCGGCGGTGCCCGAAAGGCCAAGTACCCATAGTCGTGCTCTATGACAGAAGTTGACAGGACTGGCGAAAATAGGGAATCCCCACAGAGCTTCCTTCTCAATTTGTACTTGTACGCATTCGAACAGTTCTATCGCATATCAAATTGCAATTATTTTGTTAATAATTCTTCTGACATGGGTCTAAGTATAATTAATGATATTTTAACTTGGTTGGGATTTAAATCTGAAACTTAAAGACGATTCAAGTAGTGAAACAGACATTGATGGTATTGATTTGTTTAATGAAATCAATACTTTAAAGTTGCATTTTCCAGAAAACCAATCTAATGATCCACAAACCCTATTACAATACTTTTTTATTGATGACTTAATTTCAACATTTCCGAACACAGCAATAGCACTAAGAATATTACTTACATTGCCGGTTTCAGTTGCATTTGGTGAAAGGTCCTTTTCAAAGTTAAAAATTATAAAAAAAAAAACTATTTAAGATCAACAATGCACCAGCAAAGACTAAGTAATTTAGCTATAGTTTCAATTGAGCACGAAATCTTAGACAGCTTGGATACAAAAAAAATTGATAGCAGGTTTCGCAAACATAAAGGCAAGAAGAGTTCAATTTCTGTAGATAAATATTTATATGGTTTTACATTTAAGTAAACAAAAATAACTTAGTAATAATAAATAGTTTTTCTCTGTAAAGTATTTCTTTTCTTTTTTCACACCCTTATGAGACAACACTAAACAGCCTTTCTGGCAACCTCGGCGTAGGTAGTCGTAGTTAAACAGGGGGCGGCATAATCGGTATTGCACACGGGCGGCATAATCGGTATTGCACACGGGCGTTAAAACAGCTAGCGGCGCCCCTGTCTATACGCTATATTACTATCCGATTTAAATTTATGTCAAATAGACGTACTTACTGTGTAAAGTATTGGGAATGGAGTAATCATAATTCGGCGATGAAAGTATTCGATATTCCTAACTTTCGACGATTTAGAATATTTTTCCTATTCAAATTATTTGTTTTTGAGGTTTTAATTTGCGATAAGATCGAATGCAAACTTAAAAAGTTTAATTAATTGATATAACAAAGCAATCCCGATAGACGCCATTTTCCACTACTGGCACGTAGCCTACCTACTGTAGTAGTTTGATTATATTTACGGCTGGCAGATGGCGCGTTTTAATTGTAGGGTAATTTCCGCATGTGAGTACACGCGACACGGAAAGACGACGGAACGGCAACAGTTTCCGTTGTTTGTTGCCGCAATTGAGTACTATGCTTTATGCTAACATTTTTCCAATCCTCGAAACATGCTTTAAAATCGTTGTCGTGGAATCCCTTCGGGACTCGCAACGAATTTTGTTTTATGGCATCAATTAACTCAAAACCATGACCACGAAGCGGAAATTTTAGTCGAAAAACAGGAAAATGTCAGACGGTACCATATTGGGTGAATACGGAGCTTGCGGAATCGTATAGTCAGATTCACGAATAACAAGAGCATTATGAGCAGGTACAGTACATTATCATGGTGCAAAATCCACGAGTTTTTTCGCCACAAATCTAGTCGTTTTCTACGAATTGCTTCACGCAAACCACGCAAAATGCTGAAATAATAGTCTTTGTTGACAGTTTGGCCAGTCGAAAGGAATTCGTGATGCACATCACCAGGACAATCGAAAAAAACAATCAACACGATCTTGATTTTTGACTGACTTTGACGTGATCTTTTCGGCCTAGCTTTCGAACAGCGGCGGCCTTATCCATTGCGAGGCTCTGGGCGGCAGATCTTTGCGAGGCCCTTGTCCTTTGTGCAAAGTATGTGAATTGAAATAGTAGGCACTTATTAATATTAATATATACTGTACTATAAATTAAATTTATTTTATTGTTATAACTAATAGCCAAGGATAAAATAAAAAGTTTTAAATATCAACTTTTTTCTACTTGGTTGTTGCGCGAGGCCCCTCCAAGAGCGAGGCCCCGGGCGATTGCCCTGCTCGCCACCCCCTAAGGCCGCCACTGCTTTCGAATGCCATTCACTCGATTTTTGAGCTATTTCGGTGTCAAAAGCTTAGATCCATGTTTCGTAAAACGCACCATTACATCCGTAATGATGCGTTTTTAGAACGATTTGTATTGAGAAAGCATTTCCTCAGCCACTCGAACACGTTGTTCTTGGAAAAAGTTCAACATTTTCGGGACGACTCGAGAAGCGACGCACCGTAAGCCCAAATGATCTTTTAAAATTGCTTGACAAGATTCAAATGATATTGGAACGTGTTCAATAATATCCTCAATTGATCACCAGAGATCAATGATCGTCGTTTAACAACATCTGTCCCGCTTCCCGCTTTATTACTCAGAAACCCCCCATTCCACAATTTCATATAATTACCACCAATTACTTCTATATTTACATTTTATTTATGATTATAAGCATTTAATCTGAATACTGTATTAAACTAATTCGATTATTTATTATTTTATTTGGTCAGTAAAATTTTCTGCTCCTCTTTCTAGACGACCCTGCCAGTTAAGTGATGTATAAGCACGAATGGACTGAACCACTCAGTTTTCTCTTTAATCCCGCTCCCAAAAACCATATATGTATAGACTCTATGTTTATTTTTAGGTCAAACAAAACGAAAAAAGGGAACCAACTACACATTCAACAATTATGCTTATGGTGTAGCTGGCTTCTCTGCATCATTTACGGAAGTGAGTCGAACTTAACTTAGCGAACTTAGCGAGTTAACTTTCTTTACTCTGGCAACATTGATGAAGTTCCGTAGTGAGAGTGTCTTTTGGCCATATAACTATAGTATTTTACATAATTTTACGAGAGATTGAAAATTTTATATTTGTTTTGCAGACTTTCATGACTTCAATAGAGGATTTACGCTCCCAAGAACAGATGAAACCCGAGCGTCAATCCTCCATTCACTTCCATTGACCGAATGTCAATCCTCAAAGCATGTTGCCAGTTTAAAAACAATTCCTCATATTTTATTAGTTAATTTTCTTAACACTGGTTAATCATTTAAATTTTGAAACATTATTCCTATTATATATATATATATATATATTTTTTCCATTGTTTTAAAGGATGGTGAAAGTGTAATTTTTGGAGCGCCAGGTGTACTTGAAGGAGCAGGTAAATCCCGAAATTTTTATTATTAGTCGATGATAATTTAGAATATTTCTATATACTCCATTTTTAATAAAGTATATATCTGACAATACATTTTTCAGTTCGGATTTAAAATTAATAAATATTTTAATTATTATTTTTTTCGCTTTGTGCGCATTAAAAAGCTTTTATACCATACCCATCGCGGGTTCGACCAGGCCCACAATGGAGGCCGAGTGGTGAGAGAAGTGGGCTACATATCGGAGACACCACTCCCGAAAAATTTCCGAGATTTTTCGACCGTTTAGATTTGATTCCGGTCTCTCCGGAATCAAATCTAAACCTTTTATATGTACCCGAACGGTACATATAAAAGGTGTTTTAGATGCGATGGGTGTAGGCAACGCAACTTAAGGGCAATCTGCCAAATGGCAGCGCCCACAGGGAGAATTTTCTATAAGAAATTGACCCTTATTAAGGTGTTTGTTACACGCAGTAAACCCGGAAAAGTCTACGCGGCCAGGTCGGTGGTCAAGTGTGAACGCACGACTACGCACTATCAGCGTTCAGTGGTTTTATTCACTTATTACTAGTGAGCAGATTGTACAAGTATAAGATTCGAAATCTTTTGCAAGGAGCCTCAAAGTTTTAGAATACGCCACTACTTTTAACGACTTTACTACAGATACTCCGAGGCTAGTAAAGGGCGATTGGTTGGTGAGAGACGGGATTTTCGACATATCCTGACCAAGCTATTCGTGAAAAATTCTTTAGGATCCGATCCAGAGTCGAGCCGGCCTTCGATTAGCAGAGCGGATTACACCACTGAATACTGGTAGTTAGTTACAAATTTGCGCCTGATCAATGGGCTGGCCATGTAGAGTTTTCTGGATTTTATTTACGTGTCTAAAACCTAAATAGTAGCACCAAAGAAAGCTGTCTCGAAAGGCATTCCTCCTTGAAAAATCGCCCGTGTTGTACTGCCTTATTCCATCAATCCAATACAGTCCAGAATTGAATCCAGGTTCTATCTCTTCGAATCATCTGACTGAAGTTCAACAAAGATCCACTCTGACCAGGCAATAATACTATTGCCACTTTATGTTTTGAAATTTTATAACTAAAACGAAAAACAAACTGCCAAAACACTTTATGGTCATCAGGACTGACTGACTAAATTGAAAGAATATTTATTACACAGGTCTGCAAGTAAAAAACTGCATAGGATTTTTATACATTTTCTTACAGATTTCAACTTGGTAAAAGCAAAAAAAAAAAAAAAAAAAATTCCAAAAAATTTCCATCTCCTCAATTTTTTTGTTACACTCAAGTTTTTGTTTGTATTTAGCGTAAAATTCCTAATTAACTTAAAATTTAGTATTCTTTTTTATTTATTTAAAAAATGGCCTTAAAACGAAGACCTCTCACATTAATTCTATCAATTATAGCTGGACTTGGTAATAAATAAATAAAAATGTTAATGGTTGAAGAGAGTAGTGGTAGGGATAGGTGAGTTATGTAGTTTTAGCGTTAGGAGGAAGGTCACATGATCGTATAGAAACAGGTTAATGTTCTTGTGTCACGTATAGAAAACCGATAACTTTGTAAGAATATGATATTTGATATAAATAGCTAAACAATAGTTTATTTTCTAATGGTTTATTCAATAATGCTAACATATTTAGATTTTTACAACTATTGTTTAGATATTTACGTTATGTTATTTGGATATTTACAACTATACGCCACTGCTTAAAATAGAATTAAGTTAACCCCATTTAATAGGACATTCTGCACAATGCAAGGTCCAAAATGCTTCGGTGCAAAAACTCTTGCACCAGAAAGATTGTTTAACATTTTGAAGCTTGTAACAATAGAGCATTCTGCACAATATACCAAATAACAATTTCATAAAATCTATGATCGTTATCAACATACACTTTCAACTATACGAACATTGTTTTGGAAAGGATTTAGAGTGCAAAATAAACTACAATTTGTTTTTATTTTTCAAATTTTAACTGTAGAAAATAAACGTTAGGTATTTTAATAAAGGCGTTTTATTAAGAGAACGGAATGGAAGACGGATGCAAGCACGTGATAAACGCAGGATGTGATTACGTAAACATTGAGGTGAGACCGGAATTTAAATGCAATGTTTCCTTTTGATACTTAGCATTTGTTTATTATAAATTAAAAATCTTTAAGACTAGTCAATATTATGTATTAATGGCATAGAACATGAATCTTTCAACAATGGTCCAGATATATTTAACTTGGATATTTGGATTCGTTGCCGAAATCTCTTCGTGTTACAACATAGATACAAACTTTCCTATTGTTTTTAAAAATAACAAACAAGGCAGCTATTTCGGATCGTCTGTTGAGTTTTATAGCAACAAAAATGAACAATGGTATGTTTTATTTTATACTAATAATGCGTAAAGTCGATTCACGATTTATATAAAGTTCGGTTTGTACGAGATTTTTTATTTTACAGCAGGGATGTCCAGAGGGGGGTAAAAGGAACAAATTTCTCTGCGCTCCGAGGAAGTAAGGGCCTCTATACACGGTTCTTTTTCCGTTTATTTTCTTTAATAATTTAATTTACTGTAGGTTCCCTGTACTTCGTCGGAGGTTCCCGTTACACTCTGGGCGGCCCTGTTATAGATAGTGCTTCAAAAAATGTTAACACTAATGTGGAAATAACTTGTTATGCCAGATTTCTAATGGCAGGTTGTCCTTTGCGTAGTTCTCCATCAATGTGCAACCTATTTTTTTAAGCACCCGCTTCAAACGTCATTTGACAAATTCGGAAATTTTAATCGATTAATTAATATATTATACTTGAGATCTCAACATTTAACAGTAAATAATATATTGTAAAAATAATATTTTAGGGTGCTAATCGNAAGAGTTTTTATCAAAAATTTGTTTTTATTTTGCAAAAAATCTTTACGTGATGGGATGTAACGGAAGTAATTTTTAGAATCTGCAATCTTTAAAACATATAATTCAGCAAAAATATTCCATGCAGCTGGAAAATTTTTATTTTTGTAAATAGTCTTAACTTCATTTAAGAAGAAATATAAAAATCCTGAGTAATTACAGAAATTGTATCTATAATATATTTAGTTCATGGTAATAAATAAGAGTTTTTATCAAAAATCTGTTTTTATTTTGCAAAAAATCTTTATGTGATGGGATGTAACGGAAGTAATTTTTAGAATCTGCAATCTTTAAAACACATCATTCAGCAAAAATATTCCATGCAGCTGGAAAATTTTTTTTTGCAGACCTGCGTTATCGTTACGTACAGTAGTAGGCCTATTTTTAATATTAGCAATTTTTGCATTCTTTAAAATGGAGAGAATTAAATTATTTGAAAATTAGAATTAATTACGTAAATAAGAATTAAAATATCAAGCAATTAGTTGCTTTACTTTCCCGGAAACATTTAAAACTGCGTGTGGCGCCATCTGTTATGATATTTTATTTAAAAACATATATATAAATGCTAATAACAAGTAAAATCTTCATTAAGTCCGACCTTACTCGAGATATGACACACGACCCTCTATCTCCCCATCCCCTCGACCTATAACCACCGAAATTTAATAGCATCAACCCCCCAATACACAAACCTCCCTGCAAAATTTCAGAAATTTTTGACAAAAGACATAGGAGTTATTAATCATCAAAGTGGGTGAACAAATCGTGCTCCCTACACATACACAAACATTCGTACATAAAGAAACCACCCATTGTTTTTTGCATTTCTCGATGTTTCAAGGCCCCCGAGTCCAAAAATGTAAAAAGTATAGCGGGGTCATTTTTTGACTGATCGCAGTACTCTTATTGCTTTCTCCCCTGTGTTACATATAACAGAACCGAGGGAAGATAAGATTATTTTATATCCAGATCGGTTTTCTAAATCGGATATCACCCGGATTCTAGGAGTTTAGAACATGGTTAAGAAAAAAATAGATCCAAATTAACAGGACGGAAAGAGTTTTTTAAAGAAAAAAAAAGGCTTCTTGATGCAGGCTTGTAAAAATTGAGTTTATTTATTTGTAGGATCAATTATTAAATATCCTTGGAACTGGTATAACTGGTCTAATTTTTGGGACATTCTGGATCCCGATCCCGAGAAGTTAATAGAAATTTCTTTTGATTCTTACATAGGTAATTAATAAAAATTCTTCACAATATCTACCTTTATAAATATATTTATTTGAATTGTTAACAAATTCCAAATGTTCAAATGATTTTTCTTCTAGGTTATTCTGTTTCTTCTGGACACTTTTTAAGCAATAAAAGCACGCTATTTGTAGCCGGAGCTCCGAGGACAGAAAATAATCGTGGATGTGTAAGTAATAGGAATATAGAATTATGGTTTTTTGCTCTCAATCTCGATTTGGGTCAGGACCGGATTAATTATTATGCAAAACTGCACAGATTTTAAAGGTGAAAAGTTTTAAAATAACCAGTTTTCTTTTATCATTTTATAATTCTTCCCTACAAGACTTCTAAATACTGAAAACACTGGCCTACGGATGTAAGAAGAGGTGAAAGTCAAAAATGCCTGCATTCTTTTAATCCACCAACTCCAAGCCGTACTTTGCTGCTCACTGAAGCCTTATTACCTCATTTGGTTGAGATTACCTCACGTACAGGCTTGACTTAGAACAAGTGACAGTCACCTCTTCATACATCTTTATTAGCCACTTTTTATTTATTGATAGTCAGAAGTGGCTAATGCCAGAAGTTCCTTCATTTTATTAAGAGAATAGACAAAAACTTGGTATGACACTACTATAAATGCCTCAATAACAGACGCTACTATGTGGAAAAATAGTTTAATGTATGTAGAATGTGATAAAAATAAAACGTTTTTGAAAAAATTCCTCGAAGTTAAACGGTATTTATTTCCGGTTACGTCTCGTAATATTCAGGTACTGTACACACGAGTCTTGAATGTATAAGGCCTATAAGTCATAAATCTCATCCTGAATCTGATTGTTCTTAACTTTATTTTTTCAGCTGATTTATTAATATTTTGGTATTTTTTCGCCTTCCTGTTTGACTTTTAGGATCGTAAAAAAATCCGGAAAACTCCACGCGGCCAGCCTGTTGTTCAGGCAGGAACCCGCGACCAACTACCAGTATTTTATATACTCGGCAATGGTGGGCTTTCACATAAAAATAACTGAATGTCCGTGTTAATATGAACTGACAGTTATCTCTTCATACATCTTTTTATTGTATACAGTCGACCCCCATAACACGGGTTCATATAGTTCAGATTCCTATATGACAGCAAAAAAATTGCGACAGTATTCGTACAAACATGCTAAAAAACTCCTATAATTCGGTAAAACGTCATCGCCGACTCGTGTCGCGACAGGATTGATCGAATCTAGACCAATAGAGGATATTGTACAAACCGTTGAGTTTAAACGAGTAGCGGACCTATTAAAAACCATTTATTATTTAACGTCCATAAAAATTATATTTATATTAATGATGTCTCCAAAGTTCAGCGAATTTTTCGCAAAAAAAATAATTTATCAGGAAGCACGCGAGTGCCATTCGACGACAAGCTCCACGACGAAAACAAGTTTAAGCAATGGCGTCGTCAAACGGTGCACACTCGGTAAGTAATCCTACAATTTTTTTAGTTTATAGCATAGTTTATATGGATTATTCCCAAAAAATTATACGTATTTTGGAAATATTGAGTCGAATTAGTCTAGAATCGATTAATTTTATGGAAGAAAACCTTTCAAACAGCCGTAGTCCGTAAACTGCATACGTGCCGTGCTGTGATTGGCTCATGTATTTAAGGACTCTTAGAACATCAATTTCATAAAGAACGGAACGTATCTACCGTGTTATAGAGGGATCGACTGTATTTCAATATATCTTCCTTAGTCTGTAATTGTAGTAAATAATTATATTCATTGTATAAAATATATAATCCATTGCAATAAAAAATTTACATACTGTATTTAATATCAAGGAAAATATAGTAGTTTTTTATGCACCAATGTATCCTTTCCCATCTGTAGTAATTAGTTACATTGTTGATGACAAAACAATGTACTGTGGACAGATCATCTCCAAACTGCTGTGTGGTTGGTTGATGGAAAGCGACTGCAATCTGTTAAACTTCTTGCGACTTCAAACACTGATTGTGAACCCACTATCAAAATAAATTTGAATTCTTTCCTCTTTACTCGTCGCCATGCTTTGTTTGTAAAATAATAAAAATCATAATGGTTCCAAACATATGGGACAACCTGTATAAAACGTAACATAGAATAGTTTCCTATAGTATTAAATCTATGTAATTTGAAATTTGTTACTGTTACTTATAACTTAAAATTATTTACATTATTAATAATTTTTAAATAATTTAAATATTTTTTGAATTAATCTCAAAGTTATTTAAATATTATTTAAATGCAAAAAATGATTAATAACTAATTGCATTTAAAATATTTTATTATTATCTTTGTTTCTTTTTCTTTTATTTTGATTTTAACCTTTTTACAGGTTTATATATTTGAAAATTTGCACAATGTTAAAATTAAATTCAAAATAATGGGCTCAACGGTAAAAATTTTGATTAAGTTAAGATATATAAAAGTACAGTTGAACCTCTAAACAGCGGCCATTTTTCCCAAGAACTTTTTTAAACAAAAATACATAGAAAATAATCTCCAAACAACAGCCAGTCCGACTGTCATTTTTCTTGTGTTCCGTTAGTGACCGTTGTTCAGAGGTTTGACTGTATTTAAGTAGAAAATTAAAATTCAAAATGTCGTATAATTTATTCTTATTTTCGAAGATGGGAGAATATTTTGGAGCTTCTGTTTTAGGTATAGATGTTAATAATGACCAATATACAGATCTGCTTGTTGGTGCACCTTTCTATTCCACTTTAAGAGGAGGAGACGAGGGCATTGTCTATATGTATATCAGTAACGGGGAAGTAAGCAGCAAAATAATACACTATTTGTTTGTTTTACAGTTTTTATGATAAGAATAGATAAAATTTCTTAATTATCTTATTTAAAAATATACAGGAGTTAGAAATACAGTCAATAGTTTTGAAAGGTTCAAATATACCAAATGCAAGATTTGGAATGTCAATGGCAAAATGTGGGGACCTCAATAAAGATGGATTCTTGGGTAACATTTAGAATTTTTCACGTGGATTTTACGAAATAAGACAATTTAAAAAACTATACTCTATTATAGATATTGCCATTGGTGCACCTTATGAAGATGAGAGAGGAGCTGTTTATATTTATCATGGTGCAGAAAATGGTGTTAAGCAAAATCACGTTCAAGTAAGTTTTTCCTTTTTTGGTAATTTAAATTATAAGTAAATTAAAACCCATCAGAAATCTGAAATTTGTAACTTTCTAAATAATAAAATTATTTATTCAAAAGATATTTTAAAAATATTTTCAAAAACAAGCATAATAAATCATAACCCCGAAACTTTAGTAGTGTAATGCCGGCCTGGCAATAAAATAAAATGACCAGTTACGATTGAGTGTGACGTCTCGTCTTAAGTAGATTAATAGTAATGAAGGATGTAGGCGATTGGTTGAGAAATTGATATATTCTACTAACCGTTTATAAAAAGTGCTGCTTTATTTTCAAATAAGCGTCTGCACTCTTTTAAGTTATATATGTTACCGCTAAAGCTCGAAAGACGTTAATGTGTACATTACCTAGCTAATCTGCAGATTAACTAGGGTGATCCGTTAAAGTTGCTAAAATTGTTCTATTTCTCAAATTACCTAGGTAATATGCAGATTATCTAAGTAATCTGCAAATTACCTACTAGGCACTCGGTAAAGTGAAAATAAGATCTTTGCTGGAACAACAGCAACGTTTCTGTTCGCTTAAATTAACATAATGTTCTTTATTTAATTTTCAATATCTAAAGAATCAAGTTAATACAATCAAACAATCAACAAATTACTTGATAGAATCAATCATCAACCAATTAAAAAACATACAAAACATCAAACGATTTAAAATATTAATACAATTAGGGAAATTATATAGATAACCACCTATGGAATTTCGGGACTTTGAGTATCTATCTGAACTGAGGGGACCGAGACGACTTCAACGATACCCTACTTTTGGACCGGAGACGAAAAATAATAAAGTTATCATACTTTTTCTGGTGATCGCATGATATAATTGTGCAGTTAATGTTACCTATGGTGAGTAAAATGGCGGCTCGTCTCTGATTCCAGCAAAGAGAAGAAAGGAAACAGTGGGGACGCACGTTCTGTCCTAACCTAACCTATTCTAATAAATTACCATAATTATTACCAACCAAATTATTAGAATAGGTTAGGTTAGGTTTGAACGTGCGTCCCCACTGTTTCCTTTCTTCTCTTTGCTGGAATCAGAGACGAGCCGCCATTTTACTCACCATAGGTAACATTATCCAATTGTGCTTACTTATTAGTGCAGTCTAAAGATTGGTGACACTTTGAATTTCATAGCAATTGGTTTTTGCGACAAGCACACCTATTTGTGGTACATTTATTTGCGGCAAAGATCTTATTTTCACTTTACCGAGTGCCTAGTAGGTAATGTGCGGATTACCTAGATACTCTGCACATTATCTAGGTAATTTGAGAAATGGAACAATTTTCACAACTTTAATGGATCACCCTAGTTAATCTGCAGATTAGCTAGGTAATGTACACATTAACGACTTTCGAGCTTTAGCGGTAACAGTTCTTCTGGGAGTACTATCTATAGGAAATTCGCCCCTATTTAAGTGTTCTACATGTGAAGAAAACACGAAAAACTGTACGCGGCCATCCCGTTGGTCGGACGCAAACCAGTAACCAACTACAGTTTTATATCCCGAAGTTTTGAGCGAATCGGACAAGGAAAGAATTCAATACATAAAGAGCAAAATACACGGCTGCAACTATGCCATCGATCTGAAGACAGTAACACAAAGTTAATCAGAAACAACGAATTATCTAATATTTTATTAAATTTGTACAAAAAGTACTGTATAATATTTTAAAGTGGAACAATTGAGTAATGTTATTGCGATAAACTGAATGTATCCTATGTTGGTATAGAGAAAGTGTATACAGTAACGAGAGTTTATTTAATAAAGTGTCACAAACACACATAGTTCAAAGAGCTCGCAGCATGTCCAGCTTATACAGAAACAGTTTGTTAATAATTAAAAAAAAAAAAAAAAACACTGACAGTACAGATGAATCTATGCGCGATGCTGGTGAAGTAGCCTTTATTGTAGTATTAACGCTTTTGGAGTTGGCATTGTTGGTCTAAATGCTTTGATCTACATTTCCACATCAATGTATCTGAAAATTTCTAAGCTAATAAGTATTTGAATCTATTCTCAGTGTAGAAAGCTGACATCTTTTATCAACCATCCCGGCTGACAAATACAAGGTATTTTAAGTTAAATAAAGTACGGTTAAAAAATAGCCTACTTATCATTTTAAATTAGTATTGATTAGATTTTTACGAATATTGTAATATGTATCTTCTATTAAACCAGATAATTTATCTTTTAGACTTTCCAACTAACTTTGACGTCATTAATACTTTCTTTGGTTTCTAAGTAAACATATCTCTGGTCTAAACGGACTGATTTATCAAAGCGAGACTTCATCACTTTAAGGCCCACAATTTTGTTTGTTATAAGCGGATTTGGCCCGAACAGCAATCTGTGAGCGTGGATGAAAGATGTGAAATGTAACTCTGATCCACTTGACTCTTCTTGAAAATGTTATGATCAAGATCGGTTTTAAACACTGTTCCCCAAAGAAAAAGACGGAACACCCAGTCATCTGGCCAAATATTTCAACTTGTAAACTTCTATTTTCTATTGAAATAGTACATAATCCATTTCCTTCCCTATTCTGTGAGTATTAAAAGGAATTATTTTTATGTCCATTAGAGTTCGATCATGCAAGCAAAGGGGCAATAGAGTGGTGAAGGAACAGGTTCGATGCATCATTCTCATTACATTTCGTGTTTGAGCTATAACGTTTTCATATTGTTAATATATTAACAATATTATTAACAATTCATATTGTTAATATTTCTATTTATTTATCCATTTATCCAGTACAAAAGAGAATTTTTTCAGCATTGAGTATATGTACAGCGGAACTAATGCATGTGATTCATTAGTTTCACTGCAAGGGCTGCAATTTTTAATTAATTAATTTAATTTAAAATATATGATCTGGATCACAAATTATTAGTGTCTTGCCCCTGTACATCATACTTTTCCTGACAACAGCAGTCATGCTGGTCATCTAAGTAACTCCATTTTGGAGAAAATTTTTAAATTGAAATAACGTGACTTCCCGATTGTACTGGAAGTTCGTTTATAATTAATCGGGGCTTCCTGCACCTAAGCTTTTTATATCAGGTCTCAACCGTTATCTATCTAATTCCGATCTCGAGATTGAGGACGGACAGACAAAGAGTGGGAATTTATAGGTCTACCTTTTTTCAAATTGCAGCTGAATAAAATAAGGAGGCTAATTGATATAGCCTACTTAATTCACATAATTTATTTTAAAGTATTTTGGGGTAAATTGTTTTTGGGTCATTAAATAATTTAATTTTGGGTCCTGTTATATGAAATGATTATTTAATGTGTGACAAAAGATATTTCAAATTATATCGATCGTGATCTCGAAATTGATTGGATTTGTGGAACAAGACAACGTAATACCTGGAAGACCTGCCAAGACTATTCCTCCCGGGAGGGCTTTCTATTAAATTAAAAATTGGCCCAATTTAGACGTTAGACACAGGTAGAAAATCCGGAAAATTCTACACAGCCATTTCGTCGATGGGAAACGAACCTGCGATCAACTACGTAGTTGATTATAATTATAATTTAAACTACTGAACACGATGAAACGATCAACTACGTAGTTGATCGTTTAATTGTATTCAGTAGTTTCATCCATTCGGCCACCGACGGACTTTACTATCGTTTTCCATCAACTTAAACATTCATATATCTACACTTTATGCTTGAATTTTTTAACAGAATATTTTTGTCCCCATGACTGAGATTGTCACATTAAATTTATTAAGTATTACTATTATTTATTTATAGAGAATAGCTGCAAAAGATTTTAGCATTGATTTATCAGGATTTGGAATAGCAATATCTAAAGGAAGAGATATTGATAATAATAATTACCCAGGTAAATTTTTACGTTATTACTTATTTAAACTCTTCTAATTGCTTTTTTTTAAAGATTAATAAAATGTAACAACAACTTACTTCAGTATTTTCAAAAATAAACTAATTATAAGTTACGTCTTTACTAAAACTTTTATTACTTATTTTATCATAACCATTAGAATTTTAAATACAGTACATTAAAAACTAATAAAATTTAAGATGATTTAAACAAATACATTGCCTTTTTTTCTTTTCATGTCCTTCTTTCCGTCCTATGATCACTAAGAGGGCCTTTTTACGCCGATCATGGGTTCGGCTAGGTCTATAATGGGGACGTCTGGATAGTGAGAGACGGTGTCTGACGTATCCAGGACGAAACGTCTCAGAAAAATTCCTGGGGTTTTTCGTTCCCCAAATTTATAGGACCGTTAATTTAACGCCTTGGCTGCTTCGGTTATTCGGTCGTCTTAAAGATAAATTTATCAATTACAAAGAGCATATTGTAGTAATTTGAAAGTAAGCACAGAAATGCTATGGAAAATTTATTATATGTACAGAAATATTGTGTTCCTGTATGTTAAGCTCTTCATAGCAATTCTGTGCTTACTTCCAAAGACTTAAACAGAGAGAACAAGAAAAATATCGAGTATTCTATATTGTAATACTTTTAACTTAGTAATATTATGATATTTACTGAGAATGTTCTATTAAAATAGTCATTTTTATTTAAAGATATCTTAATTGGAGCATACGCTTCTGATTCTGCTATTCTGTTAAGGTAAGAATTTTCAAATATTCACATCTCCTTAGACGTAGTGTAAGGGCTTCAAATTTCTGTAAAATATAGTATTTACTTGAATCTGTGCATTGTTCTTTCTTATGTTAGTCAATACCAGTATGGGTTACGTACCTTCTCAATGCTCAAACCTTGGTGTGATTACACAAAGAGAACTTTGAATTCAGTCGTATTTTTAATACTCTTTAAAGTATGGTCTCCCGTAATTTACGTGAAAAACGAGACTTTTTCATTATATATTGGATAGTTGATTATTCGAGGATATCTCAACATGTTAATTGACATGCAAACAACAAGGATCATTCGGGTTCAATAGATTTATTGAAAATCTATGGAGATTCATAATTATTAAAACAATTCTCTTTGATTTAATCTTAATATACTGTTTATTTAGCAATCGAAATTTTCAATTGTTGAATAATAGCGTAAATGTACACTGCTGGCCATTAAAATTGCAACACCAAGAAGGAAAGCAAATTAAAAAAAATATATATTTATTGTATGTAAACAGTATGGCATGAAGACAAAATGATTAAATTTGCAAGCAGTTTGGGAGTTTACAGGGGTGCGAAATTAGTACACATATTTGCCACGCCTGGCAGCTAAAACGTCCCTTATCCGGTTAGGCATGGAGTCAAACTTGGCTTGGATGACAGAAATGGGCAACTCATTCCATGCTGCTTCAAGTCTATGCCACGCTTTATCAACCGTATTAGCTGGAAAGGGGTGGCAGGCCAGTCTCTCAGCAACCCATGACCAGATGTTTTCAATTGGTGAGAGATCTGGAGACCATGCAGGTCAAGGCAACAATCGAATACCCTCTGTATTGAGGAAGATCAGAACACGACGTGCAACATGAGGTCTTGCATTATCTTGTTGGAAGATGGCATTTCGCAGGCCTCGAAGATAGGGCACAACCTCTGGACGTAAGATGTCAGAAATGTACCGATCTGTGTTCAAATTACCATCGATCCAAACTAGAGATGTGTGTGTCATATACCAATGGCTGCTCATATCATCATACCAGGTGCAGAGCCCTATGCCAATATCGAATGCAAGCAAGTGACGAGCGGTCTCCTCGGAGCCTCCAGACACGTATACGGTCATCAGAATGCTGCACGTAGAACTGGGACTCATCTGAAAAGACAACATTCTGCTACTCCTGTATTCAGCTTTGTCGTTGGGTGCACCAGAGTTGCTGTCTCTCTCTATGCTGCATTGTCAAGGGAAGCCGAAGTAATGGTCGCCGTGCTGACAGTCCACGCTGCTGCAAACATCGTCACACCATACAAGCAGATACTGGATGTGCTGCGAACAAGCTCATTTCCTGACTAATGGTCCGTGATGTGGTTGTATGGTTTTGCATAGCCGACCTCACAATATGTCTGTCCTCTCAGGCGTTATTCATGGGAGGGCATTGAGATCCTGCATGCTGTTCAGTAAGACCCTCAGCAACCCATCAATTCTATATTCGTATGACGGTAGTTGGATTTCGACCAGTGCGGGTGGCAATATTACGGAACGATAATCCACACTCTCGATAGGCAATATCCTGCCTCTATCGAATTCCAACACTTGCTGGTAAGCATTTCTTCTTGTTATTCGAGGCATAACACGATATTCTAATGAAATCCCGACCTTACAAAGCAATTTCTGAATGAGAAATCCACTGCACAACTTTTCTTTTATGCAGTGCTTCAGAGGTCATTTGTCCCTCTTGCATCATCTAAATGCGCTGAAATACTAATCATTTGCATATCCTAACCTCTTCTCCTTTTCATATGATTTTGACGTTCGTATGATCATTCCTTCCTGGTGTTGCAATTTTAATGGCCAGCAGTGTAGGATAAGACAATGTGATCTGCCAAAATGGGTGCTTCCAGGGAAAACTTTTTATGGGAAAATAGGTATTAACCCTATTCAGGTGTTAACAATGTGAATAAAATTCGGAAAATTCCATGCTGACAGCCCGTTGATAAGGTACGAACCTGCTACTAACTATCGGTATTCAGTGGTTTATCCACTCGGTCATGAAGGACGTCCTAGCTCTAATAATGATGCTGTAAAAATCATTGAAATAAATTCGAGTAATTATTTCAGATCTCGGCCATTAGTTTCAATTCATACTGAATTATTGTTTAATAATAAATACATCATTTACAATCATTCGAAATGTAAAATTAACAAAAGAGAAATGTCTTGTTTTGAGACAACATTTTGCATTAAATACGACGGACAAGATGTTCGTGAAGAAATCAGTAAGTTAATTTCGAATTTTATATTTTAATTTATTTTGTGTATTTATTTTATTAATTAAAATTAAAATTTATATAGATATAACAGTGAATTTACAAGTTGACATCCATCAAAACTTTCCGAGATGCTATTTCATCAATGACACTGAACAAATGTTTACTTCGTCACAAACATCAACCAGTGAAATTAATTTATTTATCAATAATCAATATTGCGATAATAAAACTATTTACATTAAGGTAAAAATTTCATTTTATTCATTCTAAGTTTTAATATATAAATGTTATAAACTTATCTAGAAAATAACGATTATATTAACTTTGTGTTTTACAAATTTTTCTGCTTTAATTATCAAATTAGTTTTATATTAATCCAAACTCTCGCCGTAATTAATTGGGCTATTATTATGCTAAAATTAATAATTAAAAACTAAGTAATTTAGTACTATGTAGAGTTTTCTGGGCTTTCTTTACGTTTGTAACATCTAAATAGGGGCCAGTTTCTCATAGAAAATGCCTCCCGGGAGGCACTCCCCATAGCAGATTGTCCACTATTGTGTTGTCTTACCGCTCGTTGCTAAATTCAGAAGTACTGCATCCATCCGAGTAATAATTTTACAACACTAAATGTTACAGCAATGACGAAACTACATGGCATCTGTAAACTTGGCTATAATCTCACTGTTCGACGAGTTATTTAACGTTAATAGATGTAAACGTACTCTTTTGCCAATGTTCCTCGACGAAAGATAATGAAGTTTAACTATAAAGTTAATGACATTTAACTAGAATGCAAAAGTATTTTAATTCTCGATTAAGCTCAGCTACAGTAGTTACCGAACAAACGTTTCAATTCTTATGTATTTAGTTTTTATTATTTAACAGATTGAAAAGTAACATTATAATCAAGAATTATCAATCTCCATGAGTCCATCCATGAGCTCAACTATATTGATAAAGCGAAAAAAGCACCTTCCGAGACTCAAACTGGATGTTCGCTTTACATACAGAGCAACGCAGCGATCTTATAAGCAATGATTTCGCTTTAAGCTTCGTGCAGCCGCTGTAGCACTGTTGAATTTAGCAACAGCCCGTTATATAATACTGTCTATCCGATTCAATTTGTTCAAATTCTTTATTTGAGAAATTGATATTCTGTATAAATTCAGATTAAAAATTGCAAAGATTAAATATGTAATCTGAAAAATTGACAAAAAATATAATTGAAGATCGGCCTGACATTCCATAGTACTGTACCTAGGATTAAATCCGTGCAAGCAGCCCCAGGAATTTGTCGGGATCAATCCCGGATACGTATTTATTATAGCCTACATTTCGATGTCGGGTCCCGTCCCTCACCATCCAGCTGCCTCATTGTGGGCCTAGCCGTATCCATAATGGGTTCTAAGAGAGGCCCTCTTAGTGTCCACAGGGAGGAGAGAATTAAAGAAAGGCTTACATTCCTTACAGTACAGTACATTGCCACGGCTCCAGGTGAATCTTTACAAAACACGCCTTTCACGAGCTAAAACTGCTAAAAAGTAAGTTTATATCTAATTTCTATTTATAAGTCAGTATAAGTTTCAACAAAGCTGGGTCATCTTAACTCTCAACTAAATAGAATGTTTCAATTCATTTTCATTTGTGGTTCGCGTTTATTTGTGCTATTGGAAACTTCACAAAAATATAACAAAATCATACTGTAAGTCAAACGAGGGAGCAATTAAAATAGAGCATAAAAAGAATAAAACTACACAAATAATAACAGCAGCAAATAGTAGTACACAAATGCAAACAGCAATAGTAAATTGAATGAGAAAATAAATAATTCAATAATGAAAAAATGTAATCTACCTTTAACTGCAAAAATAAAAGTATTTTTAAAAAGCCGAAAATTTCTATAGGACTAATTTCACATAAACTTTACCTAACTTTTAAATAAGTATTCATGCTTGAAATCAGTCATTTTGTTGCCTTTTCTTGTCACTTAACGTAAAGTAAGTTTAACTAATAAAAATAAGTGAAAATATCAGTAATTCATTTTAAAAGTAGATAATATTTTATACAAGAAACAGTTCGCAAATGAAAGAATTATAAACATTTAAAATAAATAATGTTTATTTATATAAATATGACTTCAATGCACCAGGATAATCCCCACATGCCGTAGCAATGTAAGGAATGTAAATACGCGTCACGAAACTCATCCCATCTCTCACACCCGCTCAAGCCGAACACTCCCACGGTGGTCCGGGCCGATCGATCGATGGGTATAGGAGAAAAGGCCTTTTTTGTTGGAGGTGTACCGAGTGTAGAAATAGAAATTTCGCTTAGAGAATGTGCAAGAATATCATCAACTTTCTGGAGGACAAGTCATAGTTGATGCTACTGCAAAATTGGTTGCAAATCAAATAAATACAAATACTATAAATATATATATATATACTGAAATACAATTCTAAATGTCATCAAAATCTTAATTGCTCGAATAAATAAATTTTAAAAAAATCGAAAAGTTGACATTTCAAAGGCTTCCTTTAAGTTGATTTTTTTGATTCAAGTATAAATTTGTTAGTAATACTTTTTGTTGACATTAGTTTAATTGATACAGTTAATAATACTTAATTTAAAAAATTGCATGTTGTTTTTAAAATACGTTGAAATAATTTACAAAAAATAAATAATTCTTTATGAAAAAAGTGTTTTTTTTAAATCAAATTTCCCAATGGAAATGTAGATGTATTCATAATGACTGGTCAATTTAATCAATATTTATCAGGTTGCGCGGCCATTTTAGTCATTATTCATAAAGACTGGGTATTATAAATAATGCCCTATTACCCGCTTTGTCCATAATATATATATATATATGTAGATTAAAAACAAATTTTAATACTCTGTTTAAATTATTACAGGAAGGTATCCAGGATCTGGATAATCCAGTTCACATTCTCATGACATACAAACTGAATGAATTTCCAACCGAAGATTTTTGCAAAAACTGTCCTTTAATTAATAAAACTGATTCCAACAATACTATAAGAACGGTAAATTTTATTCTATTTATTTATCAATAATTTAATACATCATAAATAAATTTTCCTAATGGCATAGTTTTAATAGATTATGTTTTGGAAAGGATGCGGAATTGATAATGAATGCTTAAGCAATCTTAAAATCGAAGCTTGGGTCTCTAATTTAAAGTTGAGTCAGAAATTTTTAAATATTTAAAATTATTTTATATTTATAACACGAGCGATAATTTTCTTGTGTTTTACATGATTTAGTAAGACTAAAACTTTAATCCTCGGTGAAAATAATGTTTTGGAATTACAAATAAAAGCAGAAAATTTGGGAGAGACAGCCTACAACACTACAATATATATTCAGATTCCAGAAAATGTAATGTTAATCAATCAAGCAAATTGCTATTTGAAGAATGCGAATGAAACTTTCTTTCTGTTTTGCAATCTTGGAAATCTTTATCAAATTCCTGTAAGTGTTGCTTAAAGTCTAGTTTCGTTTATATTCTTCAGAATTATAAAATGATATTTTTTCCCTGGATTAGAAACTTTTTACTTTAAAAATGGACACGTCCGAACTCTCTTCGTCAGTTGAAGAATTAATATTTGAATTATTTATAAACTCCAACAGCAATGAATTAGAAATTGAGGATAACAATTACAAACTCGTCATTCCTGTAATTTCTAAAGATATTCAAATCAAAGGGTAATTAATTAATAGTAAAAACTGGACTTATATAGTATAGTAAAATAAGTAAATAGTAAATAAATTAAAATAGTAAAATATATATATAATATATATATATATATTTTACTATTTTATATATATATATTTGGACTCTTTTCACTCTGTGGACGCATATAGGATCTTTTTTTAGTACCCTTGTGACGGGCGTCAGCTTCAAATTTTCCAAGAGGAGTAAAGGAATATACTCCCACTATCATAATCATTGTTTAAAATTATAGTACCTTTGGACTCATGCAGCGAGCCTCTACAGCTAAGGGTGAGTTGTTCGGTAAGCACAACCATAAAGACTATCGAAACTTAGGCTCGGTTAGAAGGCCTGATTAAGTGGGGGCAAATGACCTGTTTGCCTTCCCAGCAGACGCCAATAACCAAGCCCACAATGGGGCAACCAGTGGTGAGATGCGAGGCTCAATATATCCGAGACGGATCACCAACCCGAAAAATTTCTGGGGCTTTAACCGGACGATCGAAAAGCTCCAGGACTTTTTCTTGGGACGACCATCCCGAATATGTCGGGCCTCTTGCCTCACCACTCGGTTGCCCCATTGTGGATCTTGTCGAACTCACAATGGATATGATTAAAAAAGACCCTGTAAGTGCTCCAAATTTTGGAACTAATGTCATATTTTTACTTTATTAGTGTATGCATTTATAATAAAAGCATTTCAAATACACTGAAGACGTAATTGAAGTTATGATAAATTGATATACAGCAATGTGAATGTCTTCTAAACAACGTACAATGCAAGGAATCTAAGACAAGGGGGGTGCCAAAGTTTACTGCGCCGGGACAACACCACTAAATAAAATTCTATTTCTAGAGTGAGTGATATCATCACGAAACGATCTAAGAGTTTTCAAGATGGTGTTGGCCAGGACGCGTAAAACCCCAAATCTGGGACCGTGAAATTTTATTATAACAACCATCCAGGTTGCTATAATAAAATTATTTCACGCTAACTCTTCAAACAATAAACTGTCAGTAAGTGTATCTCGAGACCCTAGTATTACATAACATTTATAGAATGATTAATTTTGTTTCTGAAGTATTGCATAGCGAATTGTTCAAATTAATTGTTGTAGTTATACACGTAATTAATAAAATAATATAACGTTCGGTATCCCTTTCTATGTATTATTCCTTAGTACAACTGACGGTGTGAATCGAGGATACGCGTTACGAGCAGTGACATGATAATTGAAAGGTATAAAAATACCGTTACATAATTTATGGACCATTCCATTGAAAGCTTGAGAACCCCTAATTCGAATTAGCTTAGTATACCACTGGTTATCACATTAATATCAATTCTTTGATAACTGTATGACATTTTAAAAGATAAATTATTTTTTTCAAAATTATTTTAACAAACTATTTCTCTTTACAAATTAATATTGAATACGCCTATATGTTTAAATTTAATATCTATTTAAATATTCTGAAGATAGAAGTCATACTGAAAATATTAAAATATTCTTAAGCTTCTTACTTATAGTTTCCATTTTTTGAAATTCTGGCATTTACTACTTTTAATTCCATATCTTCTTTTCATCGATAATTCATTTGTTTTTATCATTGATTACATATAAATTTCATACTCAAAAAGCATGAAATTTAAATGTAATTAATGATAAAATATAATTCAAGATAATATTTGTCAGTGAAATATTATCTTATCCCACTGACACATATTAATCAACATCTTTAAGATAAAAAAAAAATAAAATTGTGTTAAAAGCCATATTGGAATTTTGATATTCATTTGACTTTAGATAAATTTTTAATTCATGTGGTTTTTTAAAAAATTAATTGTTGGAAAAAAGTCAATTGTATCAGTTTATAACTATTTTTTTATTTTTTCTTCAGATTTACTGAAAATAAAGTATTGTTTTTGACAGAAAAGACAAAATATCTAATCAATCATACTTACTTTGTAAGTAAATTTATCAGATGTTTAAAAATATTATTATTAAATTTTGAATTTAGTATGTTACTTTAATTAACTTATAATTTTTAATTACGTGAAAGAATACTAATTTTTTTAAATATTAATATATGTTAAGTCGGTCAGATTCAATTTCTAGTCTAAATTTAGAATCTGTTAAACATTTTCCGTCCTCTTGGAGTCGTTATTTTATTTCTAATGAATAAATCAGTTCTATAAATTTAGAGAAAAGGACTTTGTTTATCAGAAACCAAAATTTGTGTATAAATCTTCGATTCCAGTAAAGCTGAGCCCAATTAAGATAGAAAATGCTTATGCATGCAATTTAAAATAGACTGCCCCTCCCAATTCCTCTTGCAACTGAAGTTTAAAAAAAATATATATATATATATGTTATTTATATGGCGTTTGGTAAAAAAAAATAATGACCCTTCCCTCAAGACTTTCACATTTTTGAACTCCGGGAACTTTGAAACGTCGAGAAATGCAAAAAACATTTTTAGTTTTTTTTCTGTATGTATGGATGTTTGTGTGTATAAGGAGGGCACGATTTTTGTTCACTCATTCTGATGCTTAAATTAATAATTCCTATGCCTTTTATAGAAAAATTCCGAAATTTTGCAGAAGGTTTGTGTATTTGGAAGGTTGATGCTATTAAAGTTTGCTGGTTAAAGGTCAAGAGGGTGGGGAGATAGGGGAGGTCGCGTGTCATATCTCGAGTAGGATCGGACTTAATGAAGATTTGCTTGTTATTAGCATTTGCAATTTTTTAAAATAAAACTCATTCCTATCCTCAAAATTAAACTCTTTGTCCTTTTATAATAATTAATTATATAAAAGTTTTAAAATAAAATATCATAACAGGTGGCGCCATACACAATAATTTAAATGTCGTTGCCGGGAAAGTTACGCAACTCGTTGCTAGATTTTCTCAATCACTGGGTATAATAGTAGAAATCATTTAGTACAGTATTAGTATTAAATTTTTTTAAATTAATTATTCATGTCTTTTCTTAGCTATATTGTTTCAATACAATTAAAGTAATAATCGCTATACATTATTTCAGTGGTTCCCAATTACTTTTCCCTGCGTACCACTTCAAGAAAGAGCTCAAACTCGCGTACCCCTTATAGCAGAAATTCATATTAATCCATACTAACATCATAAATTCGAAGATAATTCTGCTGCTGTCTGTTACCTTTTCACGTCTAAACCACTGAACAGGTTTTAATAAAATTTGGCACAGAGATAGCTTACATGTTGGAGATGAACATGGGCTACATTTTACTGCGAGAAAATATCTTACTCCCACGAGAAAATTCGATATAATGCGGGCGAAGCTGTGGGTAGACAGCTAGTGATAAATAGAATAAATTTTTTTTTACATTTATTACCTTTAAAATACAATTCTAATAATAATGAAAATAACATAAGGTTATTTAATTTTAATGTGACAAATGTGCACGATTTTCTTTGCACAACTTTGTAAAATCTGGTTGCTTTTTGGTCAGCTTCAGTCTCGAGTCATCTTCGAGCCGAAGTCGGTGACGATGTTTAGTTTTCGTGTTTATCATGGCCGAAAATCCGCTCTCGCAGATGTATGTTGTGCAAAATGGTAGTAAATATTCTATTGTATCTTCGCTGACATGATAATAATGATAACTGTATTGTGTTAATTGTACAATTTTTGTTTCTTGCGTAAGAATTTCATTTAGGTATTGTCACAAATGCATTTTTTCATGAAATTTCGAGAATATTTTTAGTTATAAATAAACGAATTTGTGCATTCGACATCGTGTTGTAAATTGCCAAATTTTTGATAGTCCACCCATTATTTTTTTGATTGCTTCATCTCATGCATTTAAATTTTAAATCGACCGATTTTAGATTGCCGAGCGTACCCCTTCATGCAATTTCGCATACCCCCAGGAGTACGCGTACCACTAATTGGGAACCATTGCATTATTTTAATGTATTTTAAATGTATCTTAAATTAATTGTGGGGCTGAGTGGAAAAACGGCATATTCCATAAAACTACAAAAAATGAGTTGCTAACAAATTTGGATTTGTTCATCATCAATCCATCTTCTAAGAAACGTTCACGATTTGGTTGCATGTCCTACAGGTTCTGTATTCATATTAACAAAGAGCTGCACATTAAAATGCTGGTGAATTGAAACACAAATCCTTCTTTTTCTCGAAAACCTCCTAATGTGGGATATGGCATTTTTTCACTAAGCCCCTCAATTTTATCATCTTGCCGAAAATATTGGATCTACAAGGTGTCCCACAGGCCTGAAACCATAGGAGTCAAGTTATTTTGGGAGTCAAATTCAAGTTATTTTGGTAGAGGAACCTGTAGTCGACAGGAAGTCACTGAAGAGTTTAACAGGCTACATCCAGACTACTAGTCTGATGCGTCCTGTTAACTATTTGGCAACTTCATGCCAACTGCAGGTCCTCACCATCAAAATAGGTTTTTTCCTCCTTACTCGGCACATGCTTTACCTGTAAAGGAATAAACAAAGATCAACAAAACTCTTATTGTTGATCTTATGAGAAACCCTATATAACCCTATAAACCCTATATACCTATCTTATATATACGGTATATAAGATAAGTATATTATAAATCCCTATTACCTTCTTCATAAAAATATTACACATTATAAATGGACTTTACTACAGAAACATAAGCAAACTCTACATCCTACATATGTAATTAAAAGATTATTTAGAGCACAATATAAATCTGAATAATCTATCAGAACAATATTAATGCATCAATTTATATTACAACAGATATGTGATTTTTAATGTTATATATTTTTCATAAATACTTTATTTATTAGAAATTATAATATTTGTTTAGATATTTAAAACTCTGAAACAACAGGTACCATTAGTAGAAGTAGTATTTTCAATTCCAATAAAACATTCAAAAAGCGGATTGCAATTTCTAGAACCTGAAATTGAGGTATTCTTTTATTATTATTATTATTACTTGTTATGTTTTAAAATATCAGTTTAAAATTTAAATATATTAACAGGTAGACAACAGTACAATTAATAATGTTCCTACAAATTGTAATGAAGCAAGTTTTATGACATCTGTCATAAAAGGAAAATACACACATGAAGACCACGCAAATCACTCAGAATTTCAACCAGTTTATTTAGTAAGTAATAAAATGATGTTCATAATTACTTGTATAATGTCGAGAATATCCTTGTAAATTTTATCTAAAAATAATTATGCTTTATTGGAATGAACTTTTAAATTATATTTAAAACTCACATGCTTTTTAGATTCCCACCAGTGGCACTGAACACTGGTAGTTTGTTGCGTGTTTTCGCCTCGCCAATGGGCTGGCGACGTGGAGTTTTCCAGGTTTTCTTCGCGTGTCTAAAACCAATATAGGAGCTAGTTTCCCATAGAAACTTATCTACGGAACGTATTGCTTCCTTGGCAGATCACCCATGAGTTGCATTGCTTTATTCTATCATTCCACTTCATATACTTTTTAGTCCATCTGGCTCAATTTCAGGATATTAATTTTAAAAGAACAGCATTACATCTTATAAACATTATAAAGTCTTTAAAAATTTAACTTAAAATACTTATTGCTGTCCTAAAAAGGACAGCAATAAGTATTTTAGTAGTAGTTAAGGCCTTAAAAATAAAACTAGAAAAGGCTCAAAACTCTTTGGCTTTAACCATTTAACAAATTATATTCGAATAAAGCATAGTTTCCTAATAATTTGAGTTTAAAGTAAAGTTTTTATAATTTTATACATTTTAAAAATAATTTTACTATTTAGGATTGTTCAAATTCTATTTGCAAATCTTTCAAATGTAAGATGGGACCATTTTTAAATACAGAAAGTTTTGCAAAATTCCAACTACACGGATATATTAATTTAAAAAACTTGGACAATATTGTAAGTATTTAAATAAAAGCTTGCTTGAAATTTCAATAATATTGTTAATAATTCTTTTTTAATTATTAGGGAATACAAACTATCACTGCAATTATATCACAAGGAATAGTTTTAACACAGAATAAAAATAAAACTTCAGAAAAGGATTATGCAACAGTAAAACTAATCAATTAATTTATGATAATATAGATAACTTAATTAATAATTTTTTTTCTTATAAAATAGGTAGGAACATATTTACAGAAGTATACTCATCAAAAGAAAATTGCCACATGGATAATTATTGTGAGCATATTAGCTGGACTACTGCTTTTTACTCTCATAATTTTGTTATTGGTAAAGGTATGTATAAATAAAATAACACAAATTATATAAACCTTTAAGTATAAAAGAGAAACATAACATTTTAATTTCATCTACAATAAAACGGAGCTTACTTTCAAAGAACAACTTTGTAGTTCCATGCAGCTTTAATGGAATGTAATACAAAAATACAAGTATTTATACGTTACTTTTTTCCAATAAAAAAGCACTAAGTAATTAAAAATTGCATTTTCACAAATACTTTTATTACGAAAATTTCAGCCTCAAGTTTAATTATTAATAGAACAATACTTGTAATTTTTTTATAAATCTACTTAAGCCAGATTAAAAGCTCGTTAATGATGCAAATATGTTCGTGAATTACCATAATTTCCGTATGTAATTCGTTTGCATCATTAAAAGTAACCAAAGCGAGTGGGAGTTGGCCCCTCGCGAGGTCGAATCGTCACAAAATTTTTGTTTTGAATAGTTTATATCAGAAGCAAGTGTTCTCGCACTTGTTTCCAATATAGCAAGCGTAGAAGGAAGCGAAGTTGAGCCGTCGTAGAACATTAAGAGTGCGAAGCCTCCTAGTTGTATATAAGCCTAATGTAAAATATTTTATCTTATATTTTTAAATATCAAATAAAAAAAATTATTAAATTTTTAAACAGCAAATTAATTTTTCTTTCTAGTGTGGATTTTTTAGACGTAAAAAACAAGAAGAATTACGGGAAATGAAGGAAAATAATCCTGATACAATAAAATGCTAATGTGACATTTATATATTGTTTATTTAAAGTTTAAGTACTTTTGTCAATAATAAAAAAAAACTGTTTCAATGATTGCAAATTAATTAAATCTTCAAATTATGCCAAGTTATAATTTATAACAATTTAGACGACTATCAAAATTGTTATAAATTATTACTTGGCGTAATTGTTTAACATCTCAGATGTTTTTATTTAATAATTGTATTATTACGCCAAGACATAAGATCGGTCGACGCTCGGTGACCTCCGAACAAATGCTTTCAATCATGATCTATTGATAATAGGGTTTCTCAATCGGGATTCCGGGATCCCGGGATTCCGGTTGTTTTTTTAACCCGGGAAATATCCCGGGAAATTTTTCTTATCCCGGGAAATCCCGCAAATTTCTTAAAAATTCACTTTTTTTCTTATTTTGTGTTAAGGTTGAGGAATTTTGCAAATAGAAAGCATAATTAACTCATTCACTGTCAGAATACATTTGTATTTATTAATTTTAAACCTACCTATTAGTTTTTTTTTTAAATTTTGCTCGTTATAGCATGTCACAAATGGTCAATAATCAATATATAGCTTATTTGTGGCAGGACTATAAAAATTCTTTACTTATCGGTACCTGTAATATCTGGAATAATTGTGCTTACGCTGTCTTGAGTTTTAACCATGCCCAGTAGCTTCAATAAATGCCTGACGCCAGATTGTGCAAATTGGGCAAGGATACAAACGAGTACAAAGTCTGCAAGTATAAAGTTTTTCTTCATAAACCTGATTATTAAAGCCAAATGAATTGCCGAATTATCGAGCTCTAAGCTTGATGCCGCTATTAAAGCAGCCAAGGTAGACGAATCAAGAATACTAGAGAGCGAAAGAAATACTACAATCTCGAAAACGAACTCGAAATCTTCCAGGCTACAGGTGAAAAAACACATAATATCTGTCTTCTGTTAAATGCATTAAACACTATTTCAATCACATCAATTAAATCGGAAAGGGCATTCTTGGTGGCAAGACTTTTCATTACTAAAATAAGAATTAGAGTGAGTTATCGGAGTATTGACCCGGAGTATCTTTGCTTTTTAAAATCTTATAAAAGTTTGCAATATTTTGTATTATCTTCTTCTTGTGTCGATTCCGGCCATCTTTGGACCATGTACAAACAACTAATTATGACTTGCTTTCCCTCTTCCCTTCCCTTTGTTCTTCTTCCTTTCTTTCCAATACCTCTTCATTCTCTCGCTCTGCTGTTGTCTTTGCTCCTGAGTGAAGAGTCTTCCACGTCTGTTATTTTCCTTTTCCTGAAAACCCTTGAAGTTCTTTATTTTGTTTCTAAACCTTTCTCTGTTCTGGATATCTTCTTCCAATATGCCCATTTCTGCCATGTCTTTTTGAGTGTCATTGATCCATTGATTCTTATTCTTTAGGTTGTTGAAATACATAAAAATTTGTTTCGTTAGCCTATTTTCCCCCATTCTCTTTATATGCCCAAAGAAGCTTACTCGCCTTCTCCGAATTGTATCCGAGAGTCTTGGGATTTTTTGATAAAGCTCTTTATTGCTCCTTAGCACGTAGTTACCATGTTCATCTATTTTTGGCCCCAGAATTTTCCGAAGGATCTTCCTCTCTTTTTTCTCCATATTTTCTATTTCTCCCATTTTAAGAGTAGCAATACCTTCTGCTGCATAAAGTGCTTGCGGTTTTATCACTGCGTTATAATGTCTAATTTTTGCATTAATGGAGATTGATTTTTTGTTGTAAATGTCTTTGGAAAGTTGATAGGCAATTTCCAACTTCCGTGTCCTGGCACAATTTGCTGCTTTAGACAACCCATTTGTTTCAATAATTTCTCCAAGATATTTAAATTTTGATACTTTGTTAATTTCTCCAAAATCCGTTTTTAGTGATTTTGGGGCACCTGAAATATTTGTTATGTACTCTGTTTTGGACGTAGAGATTTGTAAACCTGCTTTCTTCGCAATTTTTCCTAGCAGGTTAATTTGGGTGATGGCTGAGTTCACATCCTTAGCCAAGGCCGCGAAATCATCTGCAAAAGCCAAGCCGTTGATTTTTACTCCTTTGTGTTTGGTTCCTAATTTAATTTGATTATTTATCCCAGCTTCTTGTAATGCTTTTTCCCATTCTCGAATGATCTTTTCTAGCACACAGTTAAAGAGTATGGGTGAGAGACCATCTCCTTGCCGAACTCCAGTTTTGATTTCGAATGGCTCAGAAATTTCTCCAAGAAATTTTACTTTAGATTTAGTATTTGTAAGGGACTGTTTAATTAAATTTATCAGCTTATCATCTACACCAAATTCATTAAGTGTAGCGAACAAGGTTGGTCTATCAATGGAATCATATGCTTTTTTAAAATCAACAAAAGTGACAACATAGTTGCATTTTGTCCTGGTATAATGCCTAATTATAGATTTCAGGTTGAAGATTTGTTCCATGCATGACCTTCCTTTACGGAAACCTCCCTGATATTCCCCTATGTGAGCGTCAACTTGCTTTTCTAGCCTGGTTCTTATTACATCTGATAGAATTTTGTACGTTACTGGGAGAAGTGATATTCCACGATAGTTATTTGTATCTGTTTTGTCTCCTTTCTTGTGTAGTGGATGGATTAGTGCACATTTCCACTCATCAGGTATTTCTTCCGTTTCCCAAATTTTTTGAATTACGTTGTGCAGAGATTTTCTTAAGTTTGGACCAGCAATCTTCCACATTTCGGCTACAATACCGTCTTCTCCAGANGTAATCTTCCGTTCATTTTCGTACAAATCATTCGTTTACTGTTATCACATAAAGTATTATTATCAATTTTGTGTTACATAATGATATTCTACTTACTTGCAGCTGCAAATTCCATTTTTTAAATTTAAATTCGATTGATTTTTAGAGATTTGGCACCCTCTTGAATATAGCGTAGAAATCTTTGCTTACTGCGTGACGCGTCTAGCTCGATTGAGGGTCCCCTTTCAACTAAACTACAATAGCAGGTATAAGGGATAGGGGGCGCTAAAGTCTAGAATTCGACCTTCGGACTCTTATCCAACCGAACCCACGACTAGAAATTACCGGAACTTAAACTCTATTTTTCGACTTTTGGCCAGCTTTTTGGTATTTGGTCCCACTGTGCGTTATAGGAACCCACATTATAGGGGGGTCGACTGTACTACTTTCTGCCAGTGAATGGCGTTTGTTCGTATTTAGCCCATTTATTCTATGTCTCATTGCTTTATATGGAGTGTCAGCCTTTCCGGCTATATTATTCCGATAGAGCGATGGTGTGAGTATCCGATGATCCTACCGAAGCTTAATTGCTTTGCCTTACGTTAGAGCGGAGAATAATGATTTCCGGGAGGACTTTTCAAGCGTAACCGGCTCCTATTCAGGCGTTACAAATGTGGAGAAAACTCGGAAAACTCCACTTGGCCAGTTCATCCTGGCGAGGCGCGAATCCACGTCCGAACTACTGTGTTAAGAGAACGGAGCCGCTTGGCCACTGGTCGCCCATTTAGCCCACTTTCTCTTATCAATAAAGGATTGTGACTGTTTTTCCGGAACAGAAAACAGAATTACTAACTACAAGACTTTATGAATTATTTTTACGATTATTTTCTACTATTGTATACGAAATAATCGAACAAATTAAAGTAAAATGACGGTAACGGTTGTTTCTAAGGTCACAGCCACTCTCTATAGTATATTCTAGCTCGTTTTTACTAGTATAATTAATAATTAAAGTTATTTTTAAACAAAATCTTAACAGGCGGGAAAGTTACGCAACTCGTTGCTAGATTTTTTAAAGGAACAGAACGTAATTATATTTTTTTCATTTTTGGTAGTTATACAGAAGTTTATCAATTTGCGTTTTCTGGGTTATTCTCCTAAACTGTTACTGTTGCTTTGCTTACTACAGTTTCTCGTTTTCCAATATGAAATCTTACGAGTTCTGAAATGTTTTGTAAAAAAATACTTTTACGATACCGGTATGTGAAATAAATACAGAACCCGCTGTTTTTGTTTTCGGGTCCACTACACCAGGAGCACCAAACTACGGTCCGCGGGCCAGATCCGGCTCACCGCCGCACTGTGCCACAAATAAAATGTAATTTATTATTTATATGGAAATATCATAGTTTGTAGATAAACTTACTATATAAAAAAAAATAAAAGTAAGTGTAAGTAAAAATGCCAGAAGTGGTTCAATCTGATGTTTGCATCTGACAGTAATATAATTTTTAGGGAAACGCAGTGAAATTAAAAATTCGGCGCAGTAATTGATTATTGTTATTTATGTTTACCTTGTATTGTGTTTTTTTAAAAATTATTTCTTCTATGGGTGCTATTCATTTCTTTGACATAGGAGATGGGTTTTCTAGCAAAATTTTCTGCTTTTCTACAAAATAAATTTAAACACATACACCAATGATCAGTCAGATCTGTATAATAATCCAAATAATACAGTCCTGGAAAAAAGTTTGAGACCACCTGGGTTTTCAAACTTCCCATTAAAATTAACTGATCTCCTGTAAATGTTGTTTTTTAGGTATTAAAATAATCATAAACCAAATATGAAGTAAAAAGTTATTTTTCTATTTAAGAAATTCAAATACAACAAATTATCACTCACAATTTGCCTGGAAAAAGTTTGAGACCAATATCAAAAATTAATATTTTACAACATTCTAAAATACAGTAGACATTGTAACCTAATTTGCATATGTCCATGTGTGTTTTCAATCTTCAGTAAAAATGGGGTCTGGTAAAACATTAACAGATAAAGAACAAGGCAAGATATGTGCATTCAGAGACTGTGGGAAATCTGAATGTGTCATTGCAGACCTACTAGGAAGATCAAAGATGGTAATTCACAATTATTTAAAAGACCCTGACAATTATGACAAAGTTAAACCTTGTGGTAGGCCAAAAATACTTTGTCAGAGATGATAGCAATACTGAGATCTGGTATGTCATCTAGTCAGATTACAGCTTCACTACAACTACCTATAACATCAAGAATAATGAAATATGTTCTGCAAAAGTCTGCATAATTTATA